TTCAGCACCTCATCTTCAATTACCTGGTCCAGCAGGTCTTCCAGGTTCTGGTGCTGGTCTTCCACCAGGCATGCTAAATTATACATCAGTATTAAGCAGTTTAGCATCTCAATATGCACCAGGTATTAAAGAAGAAGGTGCTGGATCAATGTCGAAAGAAAATGCTTCATCACCTCGAGCTAATAATAGTGATTTAACATTAGGAACAAAAGGTACAACAAGTAGTAGTCGATCATCAACAAATGGAAAATCATCTAAACATCGACCATCAAGTAATAGTAGTAATATGCCTAAACCAATAAAACCATCAACAGAAAGTGATGGTGAACGAAGTGAATCAGATTTAGTTATTGATACAAGTGTTGGAAATCCAAAACATACAAATGGTAGTAATAATTCTGGTAGTGGACTTCTTTTACCAAATGGAATTAAATCAGAAATTGCTGATAATACAACAGGTTCAATAATAACAAATGAAACAATGCCAGCAACACCACCAGTATCAACAGCTAATGGTGGTGCCGCTGGAGGTTCATCGAAAACTCGACGTGATCGAAGTCCTATGTCTGATAAAGATAGTTCACAAAGAAATAGTATGTCATCATCTGCTATTAAAAAAGAACGTAATACACCACAACCTAATAAATCAATGACACCAACAACAGGATCGAATGTTGGATCATCAAATATTGGTGCTCCTCAATTACAACAAGGTGGTCCATTAGGTTTACCACCTGGACTTGCTGGACGTATACCAACGGGTGCTCCATTTGGGTAAGCTTTTTGTTCAATATTATTTATCAACATATGCTTATATTAATGTTTTGTTTGTTATTTCATTTTTTTAGTTTTAATCCAAGTCCATTTTCTTCACCAGAAGCATTAGCAGCTGCTTTTGGCGCTCTTGGTCCACATCATGGAAATCCATTAAATCCATTTGGTCCATTTGGTCATCCATTTGCACAAGCTGAAGTTGCACAAGCAATGGCTATGGCTGCTCAACATCAACATGCTCAACAAATGGCCCAAGCACAAGCAGCCGCTGCTGCAGCTCAAGCAGCAGCTGTTGCAGCAGCACAACGACAACAACAACAACAACAACAACAACAGCAGCAACAACAACAACAACAACAACATGGATCTAGTAATCATCATCATTTAATGAATCAAGCTTATTCATTTTTTACTACAACTGATGGTCAAGGTAATCCAGTAACAACACCTGTTAATATGACACCTGAAGCTTTAACTGGTCCTAATATACCAACATCAGCACGAGAACTTGCTACATTAATGCATGGTGAAGTTGTTTGTGCAGTAACCATTAGCGAACCATCAAAACGCATTTATACTGTAAATTTAACTAAGAAAATAAAAAATAATCAAATTTTGCTATTTTGCATATGTTTTTGTTTTTATAATAGGGTGGTAAAGGTTGTGTTAAAGTTTGGGATCTCAAACAAACAGGCACTGTTCGAACACCATTATCTTATTTTAAATGTCTTAATGATGATAGTTATATACGTTTTTGTAAATTACTTGCTGATGATCGTACACTTGTTGTTGGTGGTGAAGCAAATGTTATATCAATTTGTGATTTATCAGCAGTTACTGGTAGTTCAGCAAGTAATACTCGTTCATCAACACCAAATTCAAATGCGTCATCACCACCACCATCTAATCAACCACCATTATCAACATCACCAAGAATAAAAGGCGAATTAAAATTAAATGCTCCAGCTTGTTATGCACTTGCAATTGGTCCATCTGATTCGAAACTTTGCTATTGTTGTTGTTCAGATGGTTCAATAGCTATTTATGATATTCACAATCAATCACTTGTTAAATCTTTTGTTGGACATAGTAAGTCTTTACTGTTTTTGTTTTTGTTTTCTTCATTATAATTTTTTATTAAAATGATTTAATTATTTTTGTATTTTTTGTTTAGCTGATGGAACATCATGTATTGATATAGCACCTGATGGTCGTACAATGTGGACAGGTGGATTAGATAATACAGTTCGATGTTGGGATCTCCGTAATGATTATGCTCCGTTACAAACATATGAATTTGATTCACAAATTTTCACATTGGGATATTGTCCAACAGGGGAATGGCTTGCTGTTGGTATGGAATCATCAACTGTTGAATTAATTAATATTTCATCAGCAACGAGTAATTCAGCAAGTCCATCAATGAAAAAGAATCATGATAAATATACACTTAGTTTACATGAAAGTTGTGTTTTAGCACTTAAATTTGCTCATCAAGGTAAATGGTTTATATCAGCTGGAAAAGATAATTATATTCATTGTTGTCGTACACCAACTGGTCTTCTTTTATTTCAATCAAAAGAATCATCAAGCGTTCTTTGTTGTGACATTTCAGCTGATGATAGATATATTTTGACAGGTTCAGGCGATAAAAAAGCCACACTCTATGAAGTCACATATTGAATTCTTCTCTGTTTGTCTATGTATGTATGTGTGTGTGTGTGTGTAATCTTTTTTTTTCCTTCTGAATGTTGTCTGTTAATAGTGACTGTGTTCTGGTTTTGTCAAAAATTCTTTTTTTTTTTCTCTTTTTTTCATTCATTATCTTGTACATATTGTACCATTAGACAGTTAGTAGAATCGATCTGCGCTATGTTTCTGTCTATTTTACAAACAGGCACATAGATCTATGTTCTTTCTTTCTCAAATATGTGCTTGCTGCGCTCCTTCTCATTGTGTGTGCGTGTGTGTATGCGTGTGTCTAATGTCTATTACTACACAACAAACATTCGTCGTCTTCTTTTTTCATATATTCACTTATGTATTTGTCAATGAATTTAATATGGAGGATGATGAACAAAACAAAAAAAAAAAAAAGAAATTTCTTGCAATGATAGTTTATTAAACTAATGAAAAAAGCAGAACAATTGTTTATGTATTATTTTAAAAGTAAAATGAATACAAATCAAGAAAATATTTGTTTTAAGATTTGAATTCATGATATATTTGAATCACACATAATTAAATCATTTCTTAATACATATGGGTATTGATTATGAAGAATTTGTATTCAAGATAGTAATTATTAACACAATATAAACTATAATGAATGATGACTTAGAAAATAATATATAAATTTTTTTTTCCATATAGATACCTTTCCATTGATTTGAATAATTCTTTCCTTTATGATTATTTTTGTTACGATTTCAAAAAGAAAATACAATATAAAGTAGTTTGTTTTTCTTTTTGTCATTTCTATAAATTTCAGACAAAGTGCAGATTGTTGTTAAAAAAGAAAAAGATTGAAATATTAATAATACAATGAGAATTTCATTTCATATTGATGAAAAGTTTTTTTTTAACTATCTCATCAAATATTCAAGAGCTACTTCTAGATTACATTTATATTAATCAAGAGAAAAAGAAAAGGCTTCAACGTCAAGTTTTGTTTCTTTCAAGGTAGTCAAATAGATCTTTATTCTCTATTGATTAGAAAATATCATTGAAAAATAATACATAAAATAATATTATCTAATCATCAATTATGACTTGAAAAAATATTTTCGAACACATTTGTTTCAATATTTAAAGATTGATTAATTTAAATTGTTTTAAATAATAATAAGAAAATATTCAAATGTTATTTTGATTGGTGGCAAATAAATTTAATGAAATATTTCTTAATTGTAGTACGATTATATCTTAAATTTTTTAAACAGATTTTCTCATCGATTTCATTGTATAAAAATAATAGTTATTTTGCCGATATAAACAGTAACAAAAACTAATTCATTTTTAAATTTTCATTAGTAAATAGAATCTATGCATAATTGATCGGGAGTAACGAAAACTTGATCAAACCCGATATCCTTTTATAATTAAATTATTTCAAGTTTTTTTTTCTTAATTATTCATAATTATATTTCAAGGAGCAAAATAAAAATCTTTGTTATTATTTATTAAAAGTAAATAAAAACTGGCAAAAAAAGAGGATGTAATATGATTGCTTACATTTTCTATCTGAAGGGTATATTTGGATGTTTCTTTCAAAAACGAAGATTTTATTTACTATAGATCATTGTCATCCAAACAGACGGTAATTAGTTGCGGATGAATACGTGATCAGTTAAGGGGTTGCTGTCGATCAACCTGTTGCTATAATGATGTTTTTTTTTCTCCTATTCTTTTCTCGTTTGCCCAGCTGATAATTGATCAATTGGCAAATATACACATACACCTGTATGTGTGCGAATTTGACTTGCCCGACAGTCTTCTATCGAAGTAACGAATGTACATATGCATATAAGAAAAAAGAAAAAAAAAAGAGAGAGAGAGAGAGAGAGAGAGAGAGAGAGAGCAAGAGCAAGATTATGCACATCAACGACAACGATGGTGTCAACATCAAGCAAGGTTGAAGCTTTTCTTCTTCTTATGTACCAGTAAGCATCCTGCATGCAAGTTCAATGAACGAAAACATATCGACATAGTTATTTATATTTATATTTATATTGAGAATAGGAAAAGAGGGGCCAAGAAAGCAACAAGAAAATAGTGATGCAATGACGATAGGCATATTGTCAGCGTTGACGAACTGTGTACATAAACACATGTAGAAGGGTTGTGATTGAAAAAGAGAGTAAAACAAAATAAGACACAAAAGAGTTAGAAAGAGTGAGCACTGTTCATAAAAAAATCTTTTGACAATTCTATAAAAATGTAAGTTAAATGACAAAAAATTTTTCATTCTGAATAATATTTTAACGAGAAATTATCTTAGTTTTCCGTAGAATAGAAATTTACATATGATTGAAATTGAGAGTCAAACGTTTTAGTTTGGAAAAAAGGAATTTCTTTAAATAAAATTTAAAATAAATGATAAAACGCATAGTGAAATTATATATTATTAGTATTGTTTTATTTTTAGACTCATCATGAATTATTAGTTTCTTATGAAATCATTCATTTGTATCATAATTTTAGGATTCTCTAAATAGCCGGCGTGCATGGGTACCTACATGCACTGCCGGCCGTTCTGCGGCACCTATAATTCAACTTCTTCGTCTTCATTTCTTTCTGTTCGTCTCGGTTCTATTACAAATGCAACTAACCAAATTAACACTTCTTTATCTTATTATCATTATGATCAAAGACCACCAGCAGCAGTAGCAAGGCGTCGTCGTCGATTAGAGGATCCAATAGCTACTTTTGCTTCAAACTATTATATTACGTATCCTCGTCAGATGTCCAAGTCACCATCACGACGATCTACATTACTTTCATCAAAACCTTCATCATTATCACCATCTCGTCAAAAAAGTAAGCAATCAAATCGTAAGAATATTTATTGTGATCTTTTTAATTTACTCGAACGTCCTTCTTCACCAACATCATCACTAATTAAACAAAGAAAAAAACACAAATCTAATGATCACAATTCGTGTCGTTACCATCGTTCCATAGATTTGAACAATTCTCATACAAAAGTGAAATCTACTAATGATAGAAAACGGCATCATCAAAGATATACCTATTATAAAGAAAAAAAATGTCAAGACGATAAATTATCACCCATAGAACAACATGATCGATCATTAGAAAAAACAAAAAAAATTAATCATACGTACCAACCACGTTTATCAAACAGAGGATTCTTTCGACGATTAGTGTGCAATTATTTTTGCTTCACTTCGCCAGTTGCTAATAATGGATATTCTAGCTAGAATATCTATCGTAAATACAAATAAAACGAAGGTTCTCGTAATAGAAAAACAAAGAAATTTTATACTAATTTAAATAACAAAATCTCAATCAGTTTATCATTGGTGTGGTGACAAAAAAATGTTTCGTTATTTTTTCAATAGATCAAGACATAAACAGATTTCAAAAGACAATAAAAATGCGTTTTATTAAAGAGTCATTGAAAGATTATGTTTATGTCTTGATTATATAACTCTTAAGATAATTATGTGTTACAAATTTATATCATTATGTATTTATTCTCATATTCGTATTTATTTTGTTTAACTATAGTTAAAATAGACATGCTAAAATTCATGTTGCTCACATCAAATAATTTTTAATATAGTATGCTGATAGAAAGTAATTACGTAGTTGAAAGATAGATTCACAGAAAATGAATAATTATTCTCAGATATACTCTCTTGTGTCGTCTTTAAATCTGAAACTTATGTAAAAAATCATACACTATCTACAAAATAATTGCTACTATAAAAAGAAAAAAATGTTATTTTTGTTAATTTACTGAGGCCAAAATTTTGCTTTTTACCCGTACTGAAGTGGCATCGATAGCTATATTTTTTCAAGTTAATGCTGATGAAATTGTTTTCATTAAGCATTAGGCTATACAATTTCATATTTATTATTCTGTTCTAATTAAGGATCTGGAAATCGACTACTTTTATTTTTATTTGAGATTCCGATAAAAGTCTTTTACTAATCATAATTCTGTTTCTAAAAATCAGAGTTTCTCTGATAATTTCTGTACATTATTGAATACGTGAGATTCGATAGAAGTTTAACTATTCCTTTATTTGTGGAGTTTTTTGTCATTGTTTTGCTATTTCTAGTATGAACTCTTTAGTTTTGTTGTTAGACTTGTCGATATTTGAAAAGAAAACTTTAATAATTATTGAGAATAGAAAAATAAATATGAAAATCGAGACATAATCTTTCAAAGAATTTTTCGAAGTTAACTCTAAAAAATAGTAGGGCAAGTCCTATGGATCCTAAGTTACAGTACATTTGAATTTATTCTTGAAGTAATATCGATTCAAGATCATTCATATACGTAGATTGTTTATGTAATTTAAGAACTATGAGTTATGAGAGAATTTCCTTAGTCACATAATTGGAATCGGAAAATTTTTTCTCTGTAACAAAAAAAAATGTTTATGTATATCTTTAGTTCTGATATATCAATAAAAAGGTATGCTCATAGTATGAGCCTGATACTATTAACAGATCAAAATCGTTCATATAGATTTTATTTCTATTTGAGAAATTGTACAGAGTTTAAAAGAAGCTACTTTAACTTAAAAACGAAATACCGTTCATAGAATTGAAATCAGAACTAATAAAAAATTTCAATTGTAGCCGAAACCAGGATCAGGACTAAAAAAAGTGGTCTAGAGATACATAAACCTCGTAAATACTCCTATTAATTCATTTACTTTCTAACTTATACTCTCTTATATTGAGATGAAGTTTTGCATGATTATGTTTTATTAGATGAGCATATAGTTGATAATGAATCCATGCATGTACAGCTTGACTAGAGAAAATTTTCATTTTTATGACATAAAACGTTTATTATACATTCTATAGTATTCATGCATTGTTTTTTTTAATGTATTTTGAATGTTGAACTTAAGAAAAATGAGTAAAATGGATAGACAACTAACCAAAAACTATCTAATTTTTAGTAAAATAAAGTCATTCTATCTAGTTATATTAATCGTGATAATTTTTTCATATTATTTCATATGATGAGATAATAATTTTTGGCCTTTGTTCTTGTCATTGTTTAATCATGTATGATTGATCTTTTGCTTTTCTGTACAACAAATTATCAAAAAGAAAAGAAAAAAACCAGAAAAATGCAATACACCTTGATGAACGAAATAAAAGAAAAGAACATATAGTAATATGCCTATATAAGGGAAAAATAATAGTTAATGCAATTGACAAATACCACTAAATTGGTAGATAGATAAAGTAGATATAAATCAATTAGTTCGATGAAAAACATATTGTTGGTTTTCATGGTTTAACACAAATTGGGTAGAATTTCGTACCTAATGGTACATTAAAACAGTTATTTGACGCTTTAGCTTGATAATATTCTTTATATGTAACTTGTCCCAGTAATGAAATTATTAAATAATTCATAATTATCAAAATGAATAAAATAAAATATTAACAAATAAGTATAAACTCTATAATGTCGATATGTTGTATTAAAACAAATATTAACACGACCTAATCTATTAACAATGAAAAAAGAATTTATTTGATGCTTATGGGAAAGAATTTATTGATGATATTGCTGTGCATGATGCTAGTAATATACTTGACGGTGAACTAACATCTGTAGGAACAGGAAGAGAGTTCGTAGTTATGATAGTGGAATAGTTAGGGTGTGAGTGTGGATTAAGAGAAAAAGCGAAAATTCCGTACTTCAGTATGCTCGACTGTATTCCAAAGCTACATCAAAACTATCCTTAAAAATGTTTTAGTTATTTGAAGTCTACTATCGATCTGTGTTATGGTATATTAAACGAAGTTTAGTCTATTTATGTAACTTTATTCGACAATAAAGCCCAAATACTGCAGAATTTGAGTATCAGTGAAGTACAATGAAGTATTTGAACTTTATTGTCGAATAAAGTTACATAAATAGACTAAACTTCGGTTAGTATACCATAACACAGATCGATAGTAGACTTGAAATAGCTAAAATATTTGCAAGCATAGTTTTGACATAGCCTTTGAGTACAGTGGAGTTCGTTGAAGTACAGAGTTTTCGCTTCGCCCCCTTCCTCCTTGGTGTGGATTTTCACACGCGAACCACATACACTTGCATACACAGACAAACTCGACAAAAACCATACGCACTCACACTCACATTTCACAACTCTTCATTGTTGCATGTCTGCGATGTGGGTAACAATTCAATTGACTTCAAAAATATTTGAATCAGAGCTGCCAGCCTGGCTGAATGGCCTGTAGGTGTTAGCCAGGCCAGGTTACCAGACCAGGCCGAAGTTTGTGCTCTGAATGACACATAGCTAATTTTTTTGTGTATTGATCGATTCTTACTAGAATAGAGACTTGCATCGGGCTCCAAAACCCGATACAGACTTAGACGGAGTTGGCGTCAATAAAATAACTTTTTTCAGAGTCGGAATTGGAATGAACCTTTTCTTTGAATTCGAAATTGATGAAAATTATGAAGAACTCTGAAAACCCTATTTCATTTTTTTCTGATGTAAAATTTGTTTTTTTTTGAAAATTGTAACTTATAGTTAACAAAAACTGTCAGTCCACTACTCAAACAACATCAAATAGAAAAATAGAAACGAAAACAAAAAAAAAACAGACAAATTAGAGCAACTTTGAAAAGTGATTATTAGAAAAAAAGCATCAGCATCCTCCAATATCCTTACTTTCGTCATTACATATATTTTTATCATCTCCACGCACTTTTTCAATAATTGCTTCACTTGAATTTTCCGACATCATTGAAACTGAATCAAAACTTGATCTTTTTGTTGATATCTTCTTGATTTGAAGAAATCCTTTCAATAAACCTAAGCTTTTTTAAGAAGTCACTGTTGATGAAAACTTGGTGGAAATTACCTTAAACTTCACTTTTATTTGGTATTATTCGTAGCCAGTTTTTTAATAGAATCATCTTTGTTGAAAATAAATTCAGAAATTCTTCCCATGGCAAGAGCTTAGCACTTATTACAAGTATCTTTGATCGGCAAACTTTGGAATTCAGTCAGCTTTAATTTTTTGTCTAAAATTCAAAATATCTATCTGTGCTCATTACAGAATATTACCGTGCACGTAAGCTGTTGCGAATTTACAGGAAAAAAATGTCAGAGTTTTTTCGGAGTCGAAGTTAAAAAAACGTGACTCCGCAGGTATCTATTGATGATAGATAATTCCTTTTGACTAATTTGTATTTTTTTTTGTATTTTCACATGGACTTATGATTGAGCTAGAATGTGTTCCAATTGAAAGAAGAATGAAGACACAACAGGAATAGAATTGACTAATAATGCAATTCAACTCGATATCATTCAGTAAACGAAGATAAGAAGCAAATGTTTCTAACCGAGATTAATAGTCTTCTATTTTTCGGTTCTTATGATTTCTTTCTAATGATACACATTTTTTAATTTCATGGAGCAGAGCTGATGGAATTACAACTAATTTGAAAGCATACCTCTCTATATAGACAAGACTGTACTTTTTTCCCAGCTCCAGATCTTTTGATTTTCCATTGAGTGGGAAAATTTTTAATTTTGTCATCTCAATTGCGAAGAACTAAATATGTGATCCAACCTAATGCGAGAGAATGAGAAAAATGTCTGACGCATATCGTACACAACTGTATCCACTTTATTAAAAATATCTTAATAAATGTATTCTGTTCTCTCGAAAACCTGGGCGACGATGCCAGACTAAATCAGACTAAATTAGCGAAGGTCACAGGCCAGTTAATTATTTTTTGGCCTGACCTAGCCAGGTCAGGCCCAAAAACAAATGGCTTGTTGGCAGCTCTGATTTGAATACTGGAAGAGCTTCATCGATCAGATCTTACATTTTTAAAGTTCTAACTATAAGTTCCAATAATCCTATCGAATACTTGAAATTGAATAATTCATTTAGCATATTACCAGTTCATATATTGATTCATTTTCATCCATTATGAATATATCATGGTTTTGCATCATTTTAGAATTTAAATACTGTTAGTATGATTAATGTTTCTCTAACATACTTTATAGAATGTTTATGAAACGAATAGACTTCATCAGTAATGAGCATTAAAGTTTTAGCACAACTTGACTTTCTTTTATTCGTGTACCAGTTGAAGATTGTATTCTGAAACTTACATTGTCCAATTACTGGAAGCTAATATTAAAATTGTTTCTCGTATCAGTGCTATCTTGACATTTAAAATAGACTTTGAGTACTCTTAAAATATTATTCTTACTTATATATTTTCTAGACATATAAATTTTATATGATTACGAGACACAAGAGAAACACGAAAAAAAAACGAATATTAACACACTGTAGCAGCAAGAACAAAAAACAAGAGATTTATGATCTTCTTCGTGGAACAGTGAAGAAATATGAGAAAATAAACACAATTACATCAACAACATGACTTTTATATTGTTTTTATTCGTTTAAAATATTTAACAATTTAAAGCTACATTTCATTCGTTGTATCAAGATCTTCATTACTTCTCAATGATCGATTAGCTCTAACATGAAAAAAAGAAAATATAGAAAACATAGTAATAGAAAAGAAACAATAATATGCAATAAAATATCTGTCGTCCACAAGATACTTAAAAATATCTAACGGAATATTTCTATACGGACATATCATAGGTTTTAACTTTTCTTAAAATAGAAAAAAAAGCGACCTAGACCATTCAATGACCTTAACTAGTGAGAGATCGACCGATACATTGGCATATAAACGATGAAATCGGTTCGGAACATAACTAGGCGGAACAGAATAAGATGGTTGTACAGATACTAAAATACAAAAAATGAATTTTTTATCAGCTGTAAATTCTATTGGTATACTAGAAGGCCATAAAAGTTTCCGTGTAAGTAACGTTAGAGTCACCATTCGCGTCGGTAATGGTTAACCAGATGGATGAATTGCAGTTGCTGTTGCTCCAGATCAATTTAATGGATGCTCTGATAATTGTGATTAGTTGAGATCATATAAATAATTATTAAAATAAATCACCTAAAGGGAATGATTTTCGATTCGAAGAAATCTCTTGCAGTTATTTCTAAATTCTAACTTATTTTTCACGTTATTAAGTTTGTCTTGATATTTATTTAAAACATGTTTTAGAACAAATTCGGGACCTTTAAATTTCTTTAAACTTACGAGCGGAGTCCTTCAACTGTTCAGTCATTTTTGCGCTGAAACTATGTGTATTATGTAGGTCCAAATGAGTTATAAATATGCTGAAAAGAGTTCGAGCCCTTAGCTCAATGTTACGGATATATTACACTTTTATGATATCGTTTGCATGAATGTCGTGATCGCCCTCAGGAACAACAGAAAAACTGATTTTCAAATTTCAACTTGAAACTTCACATAGTAACAGATCTTAACGAAAATAAGGACAAGTGGCGGTAAGGCCATTTTCTCGCCCAAAAATTTTCTCAAAAAGAATTATATATTCGGAATCAGCATTAAATTCTGAGTAAAATGAGGTACTTTTTGCTGTCCAAAAGTGACTTTCATTTTTCACGGTTCATCGGGCACCTGTAGGGGACCTCAGGACCATCGAAAATTTTTTTTTCAGAATTTTGGTGAATTTAACATCATCCGATGGGAAATTTAATGCTGATTTTGAATTTCAAATTGAAATTTAAAAAAAATAGAGTTTTCGTAGAAAAAAATTTGATTTACTGTGGGATGCTAGGGAGGGCCCACTTCCAGTTACCGTGCACAAGTGACCTAGTGACACCATTAGAGAGTCTGAAATACATTTATTAATGTGTGAAATTGCTTTCCCAATCAGAAACAAAAACAAAAAGGTGTCTGAAGTCGAGTTTTGGTGAGTTTTAGATCCAAATACTCAAAAAAACAATAAAAAACCCGGTTTTTGGACCCTTTAGCTCCATATAGAAGGGATAAGAAAATCTCTAACCAACGAGTGACGTATATAGATCGATGCAGTTTTTTACGCTCTTTCCGAATATGACCTTAGAAACAAGAAAAAAAATGAAGAACATGGTCAAACCGCGCAAATACTGGAATCAGAGCAAAAAAGGCCAAAAATGCCCGGGTATTTGCAGATTATGACCAATAAAAATTGACTTCTGAGTAAAATGCATACGATATTTCGAATCAGCACTCAAAACTACATCTAATAACATGGATTCTGTCAAAAAACAATTCTAATCAAAATTCGGCTGAGGGAGGGTACAGGCAAAATTACAGCAGAAAATAGCTGAGGGGGAGTAGGGATCAAATTTTTTTAAAAAATAATTTTTCACAAAATCTATGTTTCTAGATGTCGTTTTGAGTGCTGATTCGAAATATCATATGCATTTTACTCAAAAGTCAATTTTTATTGGTCATAATCTGCAAATACCCGGGCATTTTTGGCCTTTTTTGCTCTGATTCGAGTATTTGCGCGGTTTGACCATGTTCTTCATTTTTTTTCTTGTTTCTAAGGTCATATTCGGAAAGAGCGTAAAAAACTGCATCGATCTATATANACTTTTGATTTTATCGATCCAGCTAAAATTCATAGACATTATACATTCGCCTCAATAGAGAATGAAGGAGTATACAATAGCCCCAAAATGGGGTAAATGTATAACGGCCTAGTAGGTCTCGGTAAAACAGCTGTAGATTTGGTATCCGACAAGATATCTGAGATTAGAAAACGACAAACGAAAGAAAAATGTTTTGGCTACATCTTTTGTGAAGAAATTGTTTTTCTATCGCCAATATCAACGGAGTTATTAAGTGTGCAAGTGAAAAATTTGAAAAAGTCTATACATTCTCCCCGCTAGGCTCTATGTAAATTGTTTGAATTTCATTAGAATAATTCCCTTGTTTTGAGAGATATTGTCCAGCTATCAAATTTTCTTTATTTATCTAAAATAATGATGCATAGTTTGCATTAAAATTTTATTATGATGGTATCAAATAAAGGCTAATGAAATATTGAAGAAATATAGAGCACTGTTTGTCGTATTAGTACATATAAAGAGAAATTGTTTTTTTGGAGCTTTTTATGCGATATATTGTAATGTTGACATCACTACTTTTGACATCTCATAAATACTTCGAACAATGCTTGAAAGCGACATCAAGAAAAGCGCGTAGTTTCTTGACTCTGTATATTAGAGCTGTGAAAAAAAATTCATGATGCTTTGAAATGAACTCTGATTGTGTGAATTGAACAAATCCCAGGTAGACATAATCGTTGGAGAATGAAAACAAAAATTTTACTGAGCATTTTGGTCGATGTTCTTCTGAGTATTATTTATATTATTCTATATCTGAAGACTTATTCTTTAAAAAAAAATTCTTTAAATTGCTACGTTCCCAAACATTCATGTGCTACGAGATCACAACGATTCGTCGATCCTCCATAGATTTCTAAATAGCTGAAAAAAAGAGTATTATGTCAGTTTCATATTAACAATGTCTTTTTTTTTAATTCAACATTTCTAGCTGTTCATTATACAGAACAACAAATTACTTAAAATAAATATATTTCATGAATTAACTATAAGCGGTATATTTGCTTAAAGCTTAAAAAAAGCATATATGTAATAAAAAGATAACACAGAAAACGAGATCGATGCAAGAATAATGAAAAAAAACATACATCAATAATCTTGATTACATATTTTGGAACATTTAGTCAATTGGGAAAAGCACTATATATATATATGTATTCAGGCATAGCTATTCTTCACGTATTACTTTATTTCATTTTGATTTTTCAAAGAAGTTGATCAACAGTACGACGTCGAACACAGCACCAATATAAAATTAAACCTTAGAAAGAAATAAAAAATGAGTGAGAAACAAAAGAAAATAAATACGATACCACCAATCGGAAAAAAGAGAATAATTAAAATCCAAATAAGCTTTGAACACATACTATGACCACTTGAGGTAAGTAATTCAAAAATAGCAATTAAATCGAGAATCAAAATAATCTACAGATTATAAAAAGCCTTTCTTTTCGGAATGAATTAGTTTTTTTTAATTTTCACTTACTAAACCAATAACACCACCAAAAGTCGATCCGATTATTACACGACTATCTTGAACAGGTGCACCTGAGATCGATTCTAATATTAGCAAAATAATAGTGATTGACACAATTGAATGCATTTTTCTGATAAGAAATGTAAGAATCAAATTCTAAAAGAATATTTACAATATGTAAAAACAAAGACAAAAACAAATATTAGTCAAAACATGTACAAAATTCAATTACTTATGTTGAAAAACATGTTACTAAATTTGAGTAAATACAATCGACCTACACTCAGATTTACTTCTATGCATACGTACTGAAGCTTATAAAATATACCTTTATATTTGGACATCAGCACATTTACCTTCAATTTATAGTCATTTGTTAACGTAAAAAGAAAGAAAAATGAGAAAGAAAATATTGCCACATGTTTTGAAGCAAATAACAACACAATATGATCGGAAAGAAAAAAACGTGAGATGGCGGGGTATAGATCAAACCATAGAAGCAAAAAAAAAGAAAAACAAATCCTTTTGATGGATTTTCTTCTTGGTATCATTCTATTTTTCAAGGACAATATAGAAAAAAATATAATTTTAATCAAGATTACTTCAAAAGCAAAAGTCATTTTCTAAAAGCAATCGGTAATAAGTTTCAGTTAGATACATAAAAAGCTTTATTTATCTTCAATCAGAAAAATAAAACACTATTTCAAAAATTATACATATTTATGAACGACTTGTAATATATGTCACATTAAAAAATGTTCTAACAATTGTGTAGATTGGTAATAATCAAGTGCTAACAACTTCTTTTTTTTCTTTCCCTTTTCTTCACTTATTGTAAGCACTTAAATATAACACATACACTCATACATATATTTGTATAGCTTATCCAAAACTATCATCACAGTTGTTTTGCTACTAAAAATAACCATTCTTTGCCTTTTTCTACTGCTTGCCATTGTATATTGTATATTATATGTTACTCACCTTATTACGACCTACACGATTACAAAAACAATATCGAAATATTTGTTTTTTCACCTCTCCTATCGATTTCATTTATTGGAAATCTACATCAAATTGATCAACAACTGCCTGTTTTCTTCGAATTACTTTGTCGATATTCAAGATAATCTCAACATCAAGACAAAAATATTTTTTGATATAAAGTTGAAATACCAGCGAGAATATTTTTATGTTCTGATCAAGAACTTGAAGTTTACACATTGAATTATTTTCTTTTTGAAAACAATGTCTTTATTATATCTTCAGTCATTTATTGAATAATAGTAAACAACTTGTGAAATATTTTCATTACATTTTTCTTGACTTATCTTATGTTTAAATAGTAAAAATGAAAAATATCGTAGTCATCGCCGTTTAATGAAACGTTCATTTTATGATACTCAATTATTACATAATTTAATGTGCATATTCAAAGGACAATCATGTAATCTTGCTTGTCCATCTAATGAATATTGAAAACCAGGAAATACAATGCATGGTCTGTATCCATCATGCATATCTCTTTGTATATTTGATATTATTGTTAGTTTGTTAGAAGATATCTTTCAGGTAATGATATGCAGTTTTTTTTCCAAACCTTTGACAATGATAGAGCTTGCAATAGGTATACGATCAAAATCTCAATAAAATTACAACAAAATGAGTTTGTATTAGTAATTATTCGGCAAATTAACATTGAAAAAAGAAATTTAAAATGCAACTTTGGTTTTCCTACAATTGGTGTTAATAAACGAATAAATTCTTCTGACTGTAGTCATCGTTTATATTATCGATGGAATGAAAAAACAAAGAATCATCCAAAATCCTCGATGAATTCTCAGAAAAAGTATGTTGTTTCATTTCATTTGTTTTTTAAATTAAGGTTTTTTTTCGATCAAGGTGATTATAAAGAACGTCTCGCTATGTTGAACTCTGAACATATAAGAAATAAAAATGAAGAGAAGAAAGAAAACCAAGTCGTCTTGCTATTTTTCGATAGTCTTTTTGGTCAAATGCATTCTGAAAAGCTTGCATTTGATGATATCCAAGAAGATGTACGTAGATGAAATTATGTTGGAAACTCATCATGTAACTACAGCTGCAATCAATTTTTTGTTGTTATCAAGATGTTCAAGAGAAAAATTCATGTTGAAATGGTTGCAATCTTTACTGGTAATTATCTTCATTCATTCATTCTTGCAGTTGTTTAACCCTTTTGGGGACGGAATTTTTTTCAATTAAGAAGTGGTTCTTCAATCAATTTATTGTATTGGAATTCAAAATGATTATAGTAAAAAACTTGTGATAATACATCAATCGAACAGCAGGAGTGATCATGGCGTCGCTATATATTGACAGAACGAAAGACGAAGGACATCTGGGAAGGATCTATATGACAGGAAAACGAAGAGAGAAGATACGCATGAGATGGCAGATGAAGCAATCTATTACCTTACATGCATAACAGTTTAATGAATAGCATACATTTTCTATACTGAAAAATAGGTGATATAACGTATGTACCGTCATCCCCCAAGGGTTAAATTCTTCGTATTGAAATATATTCTACCATAAAAATGTTGATTATGATTTCGAAATGGTTTTAACTATTGAATTTTCAATAATCATGACATTGTTTTTAATAATTTCACAAAATTTTATTTCAAAAATGATCTCTGAGATAATACAGCACATGAGATAAGTATATATTCAAATAAGAAATATTTTTCTAAAGTAAATAAGAAGAGAGATTAGACGTACTACAACTAAGAAATAAAAAAAAAGTATAAAGTTATTGCTATCCAAAAAAAAAAACACTCAAATGAAGATAAGAATTGTTGATAATAGAAAACAAAAACAAAAACATGAGATTTATTTTTATGAACTTTTAGTCGACAGTTGAACTTTTGCTGTATGTAATTCTCGTTTAACTGAATCAATCATTGTTTGAAACCTAAAATAAATATGTCAGAGAATTTTAATATTTCGCTACTAAATAAAATAAAACACTAATGACTAAAAAGTAAACAAACAAATTGGGAAAACAAAGCATTCAATCGATAATTTTTATTATGTGCAGTAACATGCAACAAAAAACAATAAAAAACTATTTAATATTTTCATTCTAAGTGTGCAGCATTCTAGCAATTATATAATAATATTAAAAGCTTTATTTTTACTCTAGAAATTGCCTAGAAAACATATATACACACATGTAAGATAATTATTAGTTTAGTATAATTCAGACAAGAATCTGATTGTCTTCAGTAACATGTAATAGTTCCTTATTAATCTATCAGTTACGTTAATAAGAAAAAAATAAATCAAATCATAGAAAGAAGTTTTGATTAATTTCATCAATAAATAAAATTTCATTTATATAATAAATTAATAAGGATCTATATTACAATCGATTGAATTTCTAGTATATGACAATATTAAAATGATTGTCAATCAGATTCAAATTATGAAAAATTAGTTAGATTAATATATACATATATCATTTCATAGAATCTTACTGTCTATATCGTTCATTGATACGATCTTTTTCATCCTAAATAAATTCATAAAATAAAAATAATAAAATTTTGAATAAAATATAAATCTATACTTCAGTTAAAGCTCGTCTTTTTTCATATTCAATTTGCATTTCAATTGTTTGTAATTGTTTTGTACGTTCAAGTTCTTTCATTGAATGTCCTTCAACTCTTGCAAGTTGGCTCTATTTTAAATAAAATAAATTAATCAATTTTATTCATATTATTATTCATTATATTTACTTTTAATAATTTCATTTTATCCGATGATTCTCTTTCAAAATCTTGATAATCTTAAAAGAAATTTTTTTTGTTTTTTTTTCATATGATTAAAAAAAACACGAAGATTCTTTTTGATATTACTTAGCCTTTCACGTGTTAAATCATCGATAATAACTTCTCGTTTGGCTAATTCTGCTGCAAAATATTTTCTATCAGCATCACTATCAAGTAAAGCACTATTTAATTCATGACGAAGTTTATTTTCTTGTTGTTGACGTATTTCTAATTCTTGTTTAAGCCAAGCAAGACGAGCCTTTTTATTTAAAATAAATTAAAAATAATAAAAACAAAAAAAAATCTTTCTTTTTATTATTTACTTTAACTTTGCTTAACCATGTTTCAACATCATCACGAGAACTGGTGGGTAAATCAAGAATAAATGGTTCATCAGAATCATTTGATAAACATTCTGTACAATAGATAATATCATTATAAACTGTATGAAGTGAATTCTACAATAATACAAAAATTTATTATTTTATCTATGAAAATGATAAATAAACTTTATATTTACTTGAACATCTTTTTCCTTTTTAATAATTTCATTTTTCTCATTTGTTGTTTCAACTGTTAATTTAACAATTCTAATAGAGAAAAGAAAAAAAATACACATTAGGTATTTTTGTTACGAAACAAAAGAAGTATTTCGTCATACCTTGATTCTAATTCATCAATTAATCGAGACTAAAATAAATATTTAAATATGAAAACAAAAAAAAAGAAATAAAGTTATTTTGATTTAGATGAAACCTTTTCTTTTAATTCTCTTGATATAGTTTCAATTGAATACTGTGCTTGTGTTGCTTCGTCTTCATATTTCGTTGCCTTTTCTTGAAGTCTTTCAATATCTTTTTTATGTTCAATTTCATGTCTTTGAAAAATACCGACTCGAGCTTTTTCATCAGACAATTGTAACTAAAATCAATAAATAAATTTCTATGAAATAATTATTCTCTTTTGTTTTTGTTTGTTTGTTTGTTTGTTATACTTTAAGAGTTTCAATCTTATTTTCATAATCAACCTGAATTGTTTTCATACCACGTGTATATTCCATTTTTGCTGTTTCTAATTTACGCAATTAGTTAAATGAAAATAAAAAAAACAGATTATTTTATCGAAATTAATTTCATGACGAAAACTAACTTTCATTTCTTCATAATCACTTTCAAGTGAAGCAAGTTTTGTTTGAAATTTTGTTTTTTCCTTTTTTTTGAAAAAAAAATTAATCAAAAAGAATTATTGATTAAAACTAAAACATACATCATTAAATGTTTTTGAAACGGAATGATATTGAATAGATAATGAATCTCGTTCGAATTCAATTTCTTTCATTTTTTGTAAGAAATCCTAAAACAAGTCTCATTTGTTAAAATAGAAAAATAATTATATTTGTACCATGCGTTCATTTTCAAGTTCCATAATATGTTGTTGAAATTGAGAACGAGATGTATTAAGCATTTCAATATCTTGCTAAAATCATAGAATAAAGATAATGAAAGATTTTATAATTAAAAAAATAATATTTTTTTTTCTAACTTCAGCTTGTTTTAATCTTGAATCAACATTATTTCGATGATTTATTTCTTCTTGTAATAATTGTTGAATATTTTGTTTTTCTTTATCAATTTGTGAATGACGTTGACGATAAACAGATAATTGACTTTCAAGCTTTATTAGAAAGTAGAATATATATTTATTTAAATAATAATAAAAGATAATATTTACTTCGTTAACTGAACTTTTAAGTGTTGCTATTTCTGCTTCTTGTGTAGAACGTATCGAACGAATTTGAACAAGCTAGTAGAAAAACAAAATGATGATTTTTGTTTTTTTTTTTCGGTAACTCTACTATAACTTACATCATTTTCAGTTCGTTTGAAATGTTCTTCTAATCGATTATATTTCGTCTAAACAATATAAAAAGAAGATTTTCAGTGAAATTACTCTCGTTAGATTGTATTGTAAAATATAAGAAACGAGAAAATTTTGAGACACGAAGTATGATTCCATATATTTAACATAATCAGAAATCAGTCAACAATGTCGAAAGATTTTTAAGATAGAACGTTGCTTATCATTTTTATAGAATATTCTTTAACTTATTCATCATAGCTACAAAGTTCTACTCGATGAATAATTCGACCATAATCGTATCAATTGACGTTCATACTTGATACATAGATCATTTCAATAATTAGACTACTCCTGAAAATCTGTTCCTAATTAATTTCGAACGACTAAAATTACAATATCACATTCATACGCAGAGCGCGGTGATAAGAATAAGAGTAAGATTTGTGCGTAAAATGGAGTTAGATTTTTGACTAAACTTGAGAAAGTCAATACATCGTTTAGAATTAAACCATTACTGATGTGTAACATTACTTTTATAGTTTACTATTACAGATAAGAAAGCAAATAAAATAAAATGTTCACTTTTTTCATAGTTGTTTTTTTTTATCAACATACTCAGTACAAAGAAACAGCGAACTATAGTCTTGTGAAAAGAATTTATGTGTTTCTTATAGTATTTTCATAATGATGGACAATCTTATTGTTAGAGAAACATCTACATAGAAACTAAGGTGTATTACTTCTATATCTATATATCAAATATTCATGGTTGAACTAATGTCTTGAAATTTTTCTCCGATTTAATTTAAATTTGAAAATGTTCAAAACTATAATCAAATAAAAAATAATCTGCTGGACTTTTTTAAAATTCTGGTTATGTATATAACAACTCGAACTCGATGATGGATGAGTTAATGTTTTTTTCGTTTGAATTAAAGTCAAAAACAATTGACTACTAGCTTTAACTCATTTGATTTATCATTGATAGACAAATAATTAATCAGTAAAAATAAATCACAATGATCATTTGTATCATTTGAAAAAAAAAAATACAAACATTTGCATCATTGAAATCTGTTTCAAGTCTTGAAATTTGTTCACGTAAAGTAATATTTTGTGTTTTAATATTTTCTGTTTCTTTAACTAATTGTTCGTTTCGTTCTAACATTTGTGTTGAACCAAATTTATGTCGATCAACATCTTTTTCGAGTTTTTTAACTTTTGCTTTCCATCTAGAGATTAAAAAAAAATAAAATATAAAATTCAAAATAAAATAAAATAAATTAAATTAAACTGTTTAATTGTTTCTTGTGCTTGAATTTTTAATTCTTCTCGTTGTTGTTCGGAATCAACTAATTGTTTTTGAGAATTCAATGCTTCTTGTGCATAACGTTCAGCTTCTTGTGTCATTTCTTCTAATTTTTCTAATGCTAATGCTAAATCACGTTGTAATTTTGCATTTTGTCGTTCATATGTATCACAGTTTTCTGTTGTTTCTTTTAATTCAAGTAAACTTTTTGCAACAAGTCTTTCTTTATCATCACATTTTTTCATTAAGACCTTTAAAAAACAAAACAATTATATTTTCAAATACAATTGTAAATTTAGTAAAGAAAATGTATTTCTTAACCTCTAAATGATCTGAAAGTTGTTCACGTTGACGTTCACTTTTTTCAAGTTCTTTTTTAAATGTAACCATTTCATTTAATGTTGTCGATTTTGAAAGCATCATTTGTTGCTGAATTAAATAATCACGTTCCAATTGAAGACGATCTTGTTCTATATATTAATAATATATTCAAATATTTATAAATATTTAGAATAATCATTCATATTGTTTTTAAGACGACCGTATCCTTATCCCTCTTCTTCAAAAAAAAAAAATCGATTTTTCTAAAAAAAGACACTATTTGAGATGAACATATAGTCATGAACCCTAGAGTGTTTAGTTTTGAAGTTAATAAAAATGATTTCCAATTTTTAAAGGTTTTTTTTTGCATAAATTGTCAAAGTTCGAACAAATCTGTTTTCTATATAATTCTTTCTAATGAATTCTGGTTACATTTATTTTTCTATTCGACCGTCAATATCAAAAAAGAGTGATGAGTTTCCTAGAAAATTTTTCCTAAAATCTTTTTCTTTTTGACTTTTTAAGGTCTTGGATACCACGAAAATGAAATAAGATCAAAATTAAAAACAACCTCTCCTTCATTTGAATCGACAAGAAATTCTCTTTTAAATGAGAGTAGACCGATTGCTATAGCATGAAGTGTTTTTAAAAGTTATTTACATGTGTAAAAGCTCCATTTTTCAATTTGTCTTCTGGAAATCTCTCGAAGAAAGTAGCCTCAAGCAGATGATTTAATGAAATTTAATATGATCTTAATGTGAATTACTTGACCTGAAACAAGAACGAGATCGCTTGCCGATGAAAATATATGATCAGTTAAGGAAATGAATAATTCTATTAGTAGAACTTTTGGTACTATTCAAATAATACGTTAAGGTATTGATTATCCACTGTTTGAAATTTTATTACTATTTTCATATGTTTCAAAGATTATTGTATCATTCTTTGTGAAATAACTTATAATTGATATGATGTTCTTAAGAAGAAAGCCTAAATTTCTCATGGTGATGGTAATTCATGATAGAGTATTGCATATCACTTCGTATAATACTTTTACAAATAACTTCTATGACCTACATTGAATCAGATTAAAAAAATCCCTATGTTTCTGTATTTCGAACAGAACAATGATTCAAATTTCAGCAATGTTCCAGAACTGAGAAATAGGAATTTCTTATCTATGGAGGAATTCTCAACCAAGTTATGATAATATCGTTGGGAAACAAGAATTGACCATTAGTTTTCTCACAGTTCGGTCTTTCATAAAAGCCAAAGTGATGATTTTTCTGCAACATTTTTCCTGAAAATACATTCATGTTCACATATTCCTTAATGAATATGAATGTTAGAGTAAAGAATATCGTGAATAGTATATTTCTTGTCTAATTTTAGCAATCATAGAACTGTATGGTAATTGAGGAGAAAATCCTAATTCTCAATCCTTGAACACTCTCCTCACTTTTTATCATCTGAAGAAGTTCTCTCATGAATAGAACTTTTAAGCTTTTGAATTGGGTATTCTTATGCCATTGGTTTTTCTATTGATACTTCTTCAAAGCCTGTATTACCCATATTCCGATACGCCTTTGTTTACTGAGAATGTAATATGTCAACCGGTGTTTTTTTCTTTTCTTAAATAAAACTCGTCATTGTGTTTAATCTAATGATTTCTCTCTTTGATTTGGTATACTGTTTATTGTTAATGTTTTCAGTTTGGAAATTGTTTAAATTTCAAGTTTATGACAATGAACGTATTTATTTTCATAGACAAACTCTTAAATTTATTCTTTTTTATTTCAATTCTAATCAACATAATGATTCAAACTTAATTCAATAAAAAAAAAGAAATATTTAAACCTGCTCTTCGCCGTCGATTAACTGTTAATGATAATTCTTCATCTCTTTGTTGTTTATCACGTTCTAAATCAGTTCTTGTTAATTGATCTCTAAGTTGTGCTACCTAAATAATTTTAAATAAGTCAATTAGAAAATTTTTATAATCTGATGAAACTATTTTTGAAAAAAAAAAATAAACAAAATCTACATTAAATTAATAACTATCATATTAAAATGTTGAATATTCACGGTCTCTAATCAATTAAACGTATTCAATTAGAATTATTAAATTTAAGAGTTTATATTTAGTTTATTTATTATTATAGAAATAAAATTCAAAAGACAAAATTTTTTACCTGTTGTGCTAATAAACTTTTATTAATTTCACTTTCTTCTAATTGTCTTTTAGCATTTTGTAATTGAGATTCATACTAATATAAAAAATTGATTTTATAAGTTATAATAAAAAGAAAGAAAAGAGAAAAAAAAACAAACAAACCATTTGTTTATTTGATTCAGCAAGTAAAAGTCGAGCTTGTAAAATTTTATCTTCTTCATTATGAATTGGTGTTGTTGAATTTCGTTGTGATTGAATTTCATTTATAAGTACACGAATATCTCCTTGTTGTTGTTGTTGATCTTTATCACGTTTTATTTCACGTTCGATTTCTTGTAAACGTCGATCAATACGTGATTGAACAATCTACGAAAAAAATATTCATTATGAAATATTATTTCTTCATAAATTTTATTTTTTTTTCCTTCATATTCTTCCAGAAAATGAATTATTACTCACATCTATTTTCAGTTCACCAGAAGTATTTCACAAGTTAATAGAGAATAATTTAACACATTACTTTCTATTTTGTAATGAATTTAATTGGCTATTAGACGGTAAAAAGCATATTTTCTCATCGTTTCGTTTTAAAAAAAATTGGAATTTTTTGAACCAAAATGTTTTCTGTCGACACTCAATAAAGATTTTTCTGTGTGATATATATCGATAAAGATGTTCATTAATAAACTAAATATGTTTCAAAAGCTTTATGCAAAACTCAGCGACTCCCATATACTAAAGTATATCAATGACCATGAAGTTATTATTGAGCAGGTGAAGAGTAATCAAAAACAATGTTAATATATATGTAATATAAACGTCAACTCATGAGAAGTTGAAATAGTATTTATTATGACTTATATGTCTTCAGAGATTATAAAATAGTTCAAAGTAAAGTGGATGCTTATTTAACAAGATGTGTCAAAAAAAAACACATGGATTCTTTTAAGATTAATTTTTATCGGTTCACTTCTTTCTTTTTTTCTATTACTACAATGACATGGAATTGATGTTGCTTTTGCCCACTCAATAATATGATCAAAGACAAAAGAAACTCAAGGCTTCGTATGTTGTTCAATCTTTATTCTCCATTAAACAGTCATTCGACCAAGTAAATGGTCTTACACATAAAGAGATGAACACTCAGTGAATCAGACGGACCACATCATTAACATATTAAACAGGCTAATACTCTATTTATAAAATGATTTTATTAGTAGCTATTCTGAAACCGCTGTAGGGAGTAAAGAATTAAGAATAACAATTAGAATTATATTGTTTCGTACAATGCTTAAGAATCGTTTGAAATAATTTAAATTTTATGCATAGTGATAAAGAACATACTTGAAAAAATTAATATATTTTGAAATCTTTTTTAATTTGTCGGAATTTACATAATCATTTGTCTTGCCTTATAAAAATGATTTCTCTTTCACAGAACAAATAATTTTTAGTTAAAATTTAAGTCATTTTTCTTGCAAAAAACATTGAAACATAAGTAAAATAGTGTTCTTAAGAGTTTAACAGTCAATAAGTATCCGTGATTGTAACTCTCCTCGTTTAAGTTATGCAACACTATAACATGAACATAAAGTATTTCAATTTGACATTCATTATTAAAAGCTCAGATAGAATTAACTATGATGTAATTCTAAGAAGAAGAAAAAAAATATGAAATTATAAAGTCAAACCTCGTCAACTAGTGGATCTTGTTTGGATAGAAATGAGTCATTTTCATCAGGATCATCACTGTCATTTCTATGAATATATTTAAAATTAGATATCTAAAGAAAATATTTGTCTTACAAATTTAATGATTCTTTTTGTTGTTGATGTTTTGATGATGTTGTTTTACTAATTTCATGTTTAAGTTTTCCATGTTCACTTGATAATGATTGTAATTCATTATTAAGATTATGTAATGAACGTCCAATAACATCATCATTAAAACGAACACCTTTACTACTGTTACTTCGTTGATTATTCGATGATGATGTTGTTGGACGTCGTGAACCTATTGTTGTTTGTTCTTGATCATAATCTATTTATATTTTACATAATAATATTAATGATTCTATAAAAAGAAAATATTTATTTACTTGAGTCAAATGTTGAAAGAAGACCATCATTATTAGTACCATTATTACGAAACTGAATATTAAAAATACAAAAAGAAAATTTGATGAAAGAAAAAAAAAAGTATATAATTATTTACTGTATCTAATAAAGATGTTGATGTGGGTTGTTGAATTTGTTTTAATAATTCAAAATTTTGTTGTGCATGTCGTAAATTATTTTCTGTATTCTAAATTAGTAAAAGAACAAATCAATTTATTAATTAAATTTCTCTTGTTTGATATTTTCAATTACAATTAATGCTGTATTTAAATGTCGGATTTTTTCAGTTGATTCAAAATTCCCATTTGGTAATTGTCGTTTAGATGATGAACTCATTTCTCTTTAATTTTCTTCTTCTTCTTCTTTCAGTATCTAGGTCTTCGCCTTCATCGATTGTTCATGCATTTATTTCATTTTCTAGTTACTTAGTAATATTCTTCATGATCTTTATAAAATGGATTAATTTCTTATCACAGTTCAAATAGAAAAAATTAAAATTTCGTTTTACTGAAAGACAAACTACTTATCTAAATTAAATTTTAAATTAAAATAATATTTCAAAATAAATAATTATGAATAAAAAAACAAAAGATGTCACTGTTTTTCAATCTTATTGGTTTTATATTATCGAAAAATAAACGGTAAGTAGTAGACAAACATAGAATGGGAATGAATGTGCAACACATTACCAAGCTTGTCTTCCGAGAAAATGTGTTTTCAAACATACATTTTTTCATTGGCTTGATTTTATCCCACACAGAAAAAATGGAAACTTCTATATAAAATACTGCTAAAAGAATATTTAATGTCGTAGTAAAAAAAAATAAAAAACGTTGTAATTTTGATCTTCCACTTTCTCACATATGTAATGAATAGATAAAAACAATCCATACATGACTCATGGACTAATGATCAATAGTAAACGATAGAAATCAAATATTTCTTTTCTTCTATAACGAAATGTTGAAATTCTTTGTATACTTTAGATCTTTATTTTTGACTCATAATAAATACATATAGTGTAACAATGAATGAACCATCGAAAAAAAATATTCGTATAGGAAATTCTAAACAGGTACATGATTTAGTTCAATCATGTGTAGAAAAAAATAATAAAAGTCATCGTCTACAATTGCAACCATCATCAAATAATACAACAGAAAATAAAACAAATTCATTTCAACAACAAAAACAAAATCATATTCAAAATAGTAAATCAACACCAAAACCATTACTTGATTGTTTAAAACCTGAACCATTATTAACATCAAAACCATATGAAAAATCAATATCACAACGACGAAGAAAAAATAAACCATTTAATCGTGAAAATCTTGGTAGAAATATTTATTTTATTTTTATCTATTTAATATAAATTATTCTTCGTATTTCTATTAGACCGTATTAATGACGATCAAGTTAATAATCCTAATATTTCACCAGAAAAAGTAAGATGAAAAAAAAAAAAACAAACTCTGAATTTTAATATATTTAATTATTATTTTAAATTCTTAGATTGATATGGATCGTTCAACGATTGATATTCGTGAACCAACACCTGAGCATTTATTTGCATTAGAAAAAGCATTTCATAAAATTCTTACAGAACGTTCTTTATCTTGTAATAGTCTTATGCAACGACAGTTAGTATTTACAAAATTACATCAAATTATTACTAATGCACGAACAGGTAATTTTCATTTTGAATAATAATATAAGTATAGAGTACTTTCGATTTAAAATTGATTTATCAAAATCTTTCATTTTCATTTTGTATATGTTTTTTTCTTTTAATCAATCAATTTTTCAAAGCATTTTGTTCATATCTTTTTTCTTTATTTATTCATTTTACCACGAGGAAAAAAAAAAACTTCACCGAATACAATTTATTCTGTTCTTCTTTGTCCTTTGAAGTAACGAAGCAGAACAACGACAGACAGTAATATAAGACGAAAAAAAAGTAGATACTATAATTGAAAAGAAACTAAGATAACGTATAATTATTCGACTTCTGATTCATACAAAATAAAGTGATTTAACAGAAATTAATAATCAAATATGTTTCAAAACTTCAATTTTAATTATAAATAAATGAATTTCCGAGAGTCAATAAAGTTTAATTCGAAAATTATACAAAAAGAAAAATATAATCATTTTTAATATTAATGAATGTGAATAAAGATTTATATAAAAATAAAATATTAACCATATATAATGAAATTCTTAAAAAAAAAAATACATTTTCTTTTCATTATAAAAACATATTGCTAAAATTATTTTAGTTTTTTTAAATAAAAATGAAAATCATTATATTACATATTCAAATTCTGCTTACATTTAATCATAAAGATGTATGTGATTAATGCTTATTTGTATTCTAAAACTAGATTCTCAAATAAATTTATATGGTTCCATATATTTTGAATGTTGTTTGGAAAAACCAGGTGTTATGGATATTGATATACAATTTAAAGAAACATCACAATATGATGTACTTAAAGAATTACTTGATATAGTAAAAAAAAGTGGTACGTTCTATTAATTAGAAAAAATAAAATAAATTAAATTAAAATAAAATATAATTTCAATATAGATTTATGTAAAGAAGCTGAAATTGATACTGAATATAAACCATCATGTATTAATTTAATAATAAATGAACCCAATATGCGTGTAAAAATAACATCAGGTTATCATCGTGGATTGTATTTATCAAAATTAATTCGTCTTTATACTAAATTTGATCGACGTCTTATTAAATTACTTCGATTATTTCGAATACTTACAAAAGTTTGTTTAAATTGAATTTTTTTCTTATTAAAAAAATGATTTATTTATTATATTTCTAGACGTGCAATATTGATAAACCAGAATTAGGAACACTTCATCCAATTGTTTTTCATATAATGGTTATTCATTTTCTTCAACAAGTTGATCAACCTGTTTTACCATGTCTTCATGAATATGTACGACTTATTATAGTTTTTCTTTCTTTTAATAATAGATGATCGAAGAGTTTTTAGACAAGATATTTGTTCAAATTTGGCATCCGAAAAAGTATTTCCCACGAATCAAAAGTTATGAATTAGGGCAAGAATTTCGTGTTCTTTTCAAATATGGTCTTAGAAATTTTGTCTCACTCAGTTTTTATTTAAGGGTATGACTGTAGGTCTTTTTTTCAATCACACTTGTAAACCTACACCTAGCACAAAATTCTGGCTTTAATTCGTAGCTGTTGATTCGTCGAAAATACTTTCTCGGAGGTCAAATGTAAACAAACATCTTGTCTAAAACCTCTGCGATCATCCATTATATTGAACTATAAGAAGAAAAAAAAAAAGAAAAAAACATTGAATTCATAGGCTTATGGAATTGATCGTGTGCCAATAACATTAAATGAAAATCAATATCCAGAATTTTTTAATGTTTGTGAAAAATATTCACATGAATGGAAATCAAAGAACACAACAAGTGTTGAAATGCTTTTTCTACAATTACTATCCTATTATATTAAAACATTTAGTTCAAAACAATTTGTTGTTTCAATACAAACTCGAATGCCCGTTATGAAAATAGATAAAAATTGGCGTAGTAGAAAATTACTTGTTGAAGGTAAATTTATTTTTCAAAAAAAAGTAATAAAACGCTTAAGTCAAGTTTTTTAAAGAAGTTTTTCTTAACTTTGATCAACATTTTAATAATACATTTCGGTTGAATGTGTATTACTTTTAAATTGAATATGAAAGAAAAAATAAAATGAAGAAATTTTGTCATAGACTCTTATGTAAAAGAAAGTTTTTAAAATTTATTCATCATAAAAAGTCAAAGAGCATTTTTTTTTTGAATGATTTTTGTGAATGAAAACAAAAGAATCTATTACTATATGCTATCTTTACTATGATATATAGATAAGTTTTGAAAGAATAGATTCATATTAAAATTCGAATACTAATTAAATCAGTCATGTGTGTAAACTTGACAGTTCTTTAAAAAAATCATATTTAAAAACAAATAAAAAAGAATTCTTTACGATAGTACACAAACGATTATACGAATAACTTACAGTTCACCAATTTCGAAATAAACATTTTAATATTATATTATTTTTTGTTGATAGCTTGTATTGAACACTAAATCAGTTTTGTCTTATTTAGTTTTTCGTACGATGGAACACACAGATTCAAACAAAAATAGACTGAAACTCAGATTTTTTCTGTTATTATTTGAATTGATCTATTTGATTGTACGAAAAGTTTCATAATGTAAAATTGAATCATTTTCAATAGAAGTTTCGAGTAATCTTAGAAGAATAAAATGTATTTTCATTTAACTACTCATTAATCTTGATATCTGCTCAACAAAAAAGTTGTTTAGTTTAAGAATTATTGATTACTAATGGATGTTATTTATAATATGAAATGATAAATTGTAAAGGATTCATTCCATAAACGACATCCAGGTAGATGGAAGAGAGAGAGAAAGATCTTAGTCAAAACCAAAATTTTTCAGGTAGAAAGAAACAATAGAGTGAAAAAATAGGATTTTCACTTAAACATTGTTTATGAATGACCCTTTTATGATTGTAACTAAATTATTAATTTATATAACAGTATGAGACTTATCCTATACGAATAAATTCTTCGGGAGAAAGATGTTTTACCAGACTAACTTTTGATAATATTGATTTACCTCAGTCACAGTCTATATATTAATTTTCGTGACGAACACTCCCACAAAGAACTAGATAAGAATGAGAACTGTTTCTGATTACAACAACTATTTTTTCCGTATTTTCTGAAAGTTCACGGCTAAATTCGTTTGATTCAATTCTTTAAACAAAATACAACAAAAAAATCCTCGTTGCTATTATATTATGAACATTTTTTCTTATCGAGATTTTACATTACATGATAATTGTATTTTTTTATCTTAAAAATATCCTTAGTTTAGTATATTAATAATAGTACAAAAACATATCGAGAACATAAATAATGCAAGAGATAATCATATTTGTTTAATATCCAATTTCTTTCATATACACATATAAGATGATTAAATTCTTATGTATTTATTTATTTAAGTATCTATTTAATTTCAATAGATCCAACTGATATAAAACGAAGTTTATGTCAAACAATGCAATCTATACGTTCAATTGATTATTTTCGTAGTACATTAAATTCTGCATTAAATTATTTTGCTCGAAAACAAAAAAACCTTAAAAAAACAAATTCAAATCAATGTTCAATTGAAAATAATGATGATGATTTAATTGAAATATTTTCTGATGATACAAATGATATTCCAACAAATGAACCAAACAATTCTTTACATAATTCATATAAATTATTTTATAAACGTTTACCACCAACAGTTGTACGTGATGTTAATATAAAACAAGGTCGTGTACGAGAATATTATAAACGAACATTTGATAATGGAAATAATAAATTGCCAAAACCAATTATTCAATTAAATTCTTCAAATAATAAATTAGATAATTTAGTTGATAATGATATTCAAGAAGCATTTCAACATGATCTTGAAAATAATTTTGAAGTTATGGATGAAAATGATGATGATGAAAATGAAAATCATTTACATTTATTACAAAGAATAATAGCAAATGAGGATGATGATGAACAATTTTTAAATGATAGTTTACAACAGATTACTATTGAACAACAACAAGAAACAATGTTAGTCGAATAAATAAATTTATTTCAAAGATAAAATACTATTTAAAAAGACATTTCGTCTATAAATAGAAAAAATTGATTCAGTGAAAATTATTTTAAGAGAAGAGAAGAGAAGATATACATCTCAATATTCTCTATTGATAGATGAAATATCATTCAAAAATAGAAATATCTATATGGAATATTTCATTTGTATTAACATTGATGTTTTTTTTAGTCATGAAGAATCTCCAACAATTGAAGACGAACAACAATCAATTGTCGATGAATCACCGACAACACCAAACGATACTCAGCATGGTATTTAAAACAAATTTGACGAAAAAAATTCTAATAAAGATAATAATAGTATCAATCATGGTTCTACGTTAGATAGGACAATCCCATCCCATCCTATCTCATCTTTTACAAGGTTTTAGAAATATTCTATTTCATTGGATAAATGTCTTTTACAACAATCTTTTTCTATTAAAAATAACCAAATCATTTCGAAATAGATATCTTTCTCACAGAAATGTGTACTTGTTTATGATAAAATTATGAAATACAAAATGAAATGATGTAAAATTTGGAAGTATTAATGAAAACGATAGATTTGTTCAGAAATATCTTTTTATATTTGACGAGCGTGAAATCCCGTGATATGTATGGGATCGATAATTTTGTCATTTCGGATGAGATGAAATATTTGAAGATAGTTCCATCTCACATGATGTGATTGCTGATAGCTCATTCCATGAGACGATCATTTTTTCGTCTCATCCAATCTCGTGCGACGTCCTCGTAACAATTATATAAACGAAACTGACATTGATCATTTTATGCTGAATTTCAATAAAAAAAAAAAAAAAGCAAGGACATATTTTACAAAGAGAATATAGAAAAAAAACGAATTAATAAATGTTTCATTAAACATGAAAAACATACCATCTGAACTACACAACAAAAAATCCTACTCAAAATTTAAATAAATTAAAATTAAAATTGGTTTATCTTTAGAAAATATAATTGACGATAAAGAAGAAGAATTGCATGAAAATTTAGAAACATCATTATCTGTAGATAATCCATCAATAAATGATATTCAATCTTCAACTGAATTACATCCATCAAAAGAAAATTCGAACAAATCGTCTTGTTCATCGCCAATAGATATTAAAACAAAATCTACAACAACTGATAATGGTATTGGTCAACTTCCATCAGCATTTACATCACCAATTGAACTTGAACAAATTATCGATAATGAACAATCAACTAGTGACAAGAATGCTGTCACAAATAATTCTACTGAACTTTTTTATGATTTTCGACCTGAAAATTTTCATGCTGAACAGGTAAAATCAACTTTCAATAATCGTCAAAAAATAATCTGATCAAAGAAAAAAATATGTTCGTGGAAATAATAGAAATTCTATTAAAGATAAATTCATATAATCATACTCTTTACTAAAAGTAGAGAGAAAACTGTTATTGTAACGATCATGTCGATAAGCAGTCTACATAGAGATGTACACGTTATAATCTAATAAAAATGGTCATAAAAGAGATAAACCTATCGTGCTGCTGTGGTGATGGTTTTCAAGAAATTCTTCGAAAACCTTTTTGATCTTTGTGATGAATCAGCACAGTTAGATTGAATCCATTAGATTCACCACAGTTCGAACTGTTGAAGTTTTAGACATTCAAATTGAGTGTCAATTAATGCAATTTTACAATCTCGTTAAAAGAGAAGCTGTCACGATAGTATTGTTGAAACGTCTTTTGCGCCGCTGATGTCGTCGCAGTAGTAGTATTACCGTGCTACCATGAATATTTCTCGTGTCTAGTCAACATTAAGATTTGAATCTTGCCTAGTCAAAATTAGAATTCCAAATTTCGATTAGACAAATTGAAAAATTTAAGCTGAATTCTAATTTTTCTTACAAGAACTATATAACTAGAATTTTTTCTTGAAAAAAAAACAGGGTGCTCCATATGTGTGTACAACTTGTAATGGCATTGGACATTTAAAAAGTGAATGTCCTGAATTAATTATTCCCAATATGATCGATTTACCAGCTATTAGTGAACAATGGATTCAAATATTATCAAGACTTTGTCGACAAATTACTGGTAATATTTAATTAATAAGTTAAAAAAAAATTTAATTTGAAAAAAAAATTTAGATCGATTTAAACCAAAAAATAATGATGTTGAAAATCGTCGACAAATTTTAAGTCAATTAGAAAAACAATTTCAAATAGATTATCCTGATTGTAATTTATATGCATTTGGTTCATATTATAATGGCTTTGGTTTTTGTCAAAGTGATTTAGATGTTTGTATTGTATTTAATGACGAACGTGAACAAAATGTTTGTATTTTATTGACACAATTTTATTTTAGTTTTCTTATAAATTGTTTTTAATTTTAATCTTTGTTTTCGAATTTTAAATAGAATGATGAAGTTATTAGAATAATGCAAAAGATTTTGCGAGCAATGAAATCTTCAAATACATTTGATGATGTTCAACCTATACTTCAAGCTAAAGTACCTATTATTCGAACAAGACATCGGCAATGGCATATTGCAATTGATATAAGTCTTCATAATATGCTTGTTTGTTTTTATTCAGTTTTTTCTTTTCTATCGATTAATATTTCATTTATTTAGGCTATTGAAAATACACGATTATTAAAAACATATACTAAGATTGATCCACGTGTATCTCAATTGGGTTATATGATTAAACATTTAGCAAAAGTAAGATTTTCAAAATTTTTTTTTTTTTAATAAATAAGAGAACATTCTAAATGTATTGAAAAGAAATCATATATAATATTGAAAGATTAAATTCTATTGATTAATGAGATCATTGAAAAGCATAAAAACAAAATAGAGCAATGACGAAGAAAAATCTAACAACGTTCCTATTTTCAATAGCCAACAGTCGCTTTTCTGATGTCAAGCTATTATCTTTTGATATCTGCTGACAATGATATAGGCGCGTTAATGCTTCTCGAATCATAATGATAAACACGTCTGATAAATTGCTAAGTACAAAACCATCAAGGAATAGCCTATATTAAACAGAAGTACGCATATGAGTAAATAAGAATATACGAGGTATCATTAGAAGTAGGCTTGCCATTATATTATTATTCGTCTAATATAAAAAGGGTTTTTCATAAATTTCGATCGCATTTTCAGTTTTTTACTACATATAGAAAATATTTAAGAACTGATAGTTATTGAAGATCTATATATATGTTAAGAATCACATTGTACTATTATCTGAAAGATACTGCATTCAGTTTTATTTTCAACATGTTAAAAAAAAAACCAACGACTAAATCTAGTTTAACATGTAAATCAATAATAACAGAAAGACAAAAGCGATTTCAATGACTGTTCGCCTATAGTTACTATAAAAGTATTAAAATAAAAATCAAGTAACACTTATGAAAGACAATTTTATTTCGATTTTTAACTAAGATATTTTCAACCATTGAATTGTGTATTTAGATATTAAATAGTTATATAATCTATTGAGTATTTCAATAAGATATGAAAATTCATTTCCATTTTTTCTCGCCCTTTTACTTTTCTATCATATTACTGTTAAATAGACAAATAATAAAATTTCAAATAAATATTTTCCAATTATCAATTTCAATTTCCTAATAATATATGTTTACTTCCGAATAAACTTCCGATGTTGAATAAAACAACAATTATGAAAAAATATTTTTCTATGAAATTTAGTTATGCTATATTGGTGATGCAAGTCGTGGTACATTATCCAGTTATGCATATATTATTATGCTTATTCATTTTTTACAACAAATTCAACCACCTGTTTTACCGGTTCTTCAAAAGGTTTTAAATTTCTTGATTTTATTCTTTTCAAAAAAACAAATCAACTGTTTTAGTTAAATGATCCGACAAAGAAAACTACAATGTATAAAAAATGTTCAAGATGGAATGTCTATTTCTATGAAGATTTATCTAAACTTGTTTGTAGAAATAAAATTATTTTTCAAATTTTATATAAATTTAAGGTTTATTCTTTTTTTTGTGTATAGAAAGATATTTGGAAAAACGAAAATAAATTATCAACTGGTGCATTATGGATAGAATTTTTACGCTTTTATACAGAACAATTTAATTATGAAGAACATATTGTAACTATTCGACAAATTGAACCATTATTAAAATGTGAAAAAGGATGGTTTAGACAAACAATAGCTATTGAAGATCCATTTGAATTAAGTCATAATTTAGCTGGTGGTCTATCTCCTCGAAGTATTTATAAAAACCAAAAAAAAAAAAATTATTTTGAAATTAATAAGAAAAGGAATGATCTCTTTTAGACTGGATTGTTATTCGTCGAGTTTTTATTCGTGCTCGTCAACAATTTGGTGTACAACCTGAACATATCGATATTTCAAATCCAGATATGTTATTTATTGAGGTAAATATCCTACATGATTCAAACCATACAAATACTGTCGGTAAACCGATCGGAGTACTCTGCAGTATACAGCTGGTTTTCTTTCAAAGTGTTGTATCATAGTATTATGCATGAAAACGTGTGAAAATTTCTTAAGTCAGTCGATTTCGACGCATTCTGATAATGTTGATGTATCTGAGCCAGTGGCGTACGCAGGGGGGGGGGGCGAGGGAGCCCGCCCCCCCCCCCTTGGGNGCCCAATCGGACAAAATTTAATGGGGGTCGTAATGTATCAGGATGCGGACCTCTGGAAAACCAGAGTTTTCCTGAAAACCTCATAAAAACTTAATTTAAATTTTTTTCCTCGAACATGTATCTCGTTATTTTTGAGGTTCTATCTGTGCTGAAAATTTGAGCTTGATCGGTCGTACCGTCTTCGAGAATCAGAAAGTGTCAAAAAGAGGAGGGGGGGGGTACCCTTAAGTTTATTTTCTTTACCTGGTAAAAGTTTATTGGCAATAACAATGGCAAGATCAAGTAATGGTCCTGTACATGGCCATGTAGAATTAATAGGAACATTCATACGTTTAGCAAGAAGATGAGCAGAAAGAAGACCACCAATAACTAAATTATTTATACAAATCAAAAATATTGAAAACTTCTCGTTTTTTTGCAAACTATGAATCACTCATAAGTCAAATGATAGCTTTAATGAAGTGTTCAAATCTACAGACAGGAATCCTAACCTCCTCTTCACAAGCACCTTGGCAACGTTCCGTGCCATCTCATAGACTGTGACAAACACCTTAGCAACGCCTCCCTTTCTGTCATAAACAGTCGCAGATACCTTAGCAACGCCCTTGTTCATTTCAGTCTGTAACAAAACTTAGCTATGGAACTAACGTCTTCTGTGGAAATATCATCAAAGACACGAAGTTAATGGTTGCTGTTTTTGACCACTTTCCTAACTCATGATTATGCATTACAGATAACATCTCTTATCACGGACATATCAGTATGTTGAAGGTCACAAACTGAAGAATATGTCATAGAATTCCTTGATTTACAATATATGTAGATCCACCACTGTTTCACATGTTAATTCCAAACAGAACATGCTAACAGCTTTTTCGGTTTATAGCTTATAGTTAGTTTAGTAACTCGAACGCTACTGATTAGATAACCTTGGAGTAGATTACGAGAAAAAAAGATATTGTAAACAAGTTGTTGAAGCCAAATCCAATGACAGAGACAAGAGTAAGAGGAAGAGATAAATGAAAGATGACATGACCTCTATGTATCATACTTAATCATCTAGTTAAACAATAAATAATAAGATACTGACGAATTCTATATGCAATATCATAACGATATGTTCAGTGGACAAACTCTTCTGTTATTATTTTCGTAGAAATATAGTTTATTTTACAGAGTACGTTACGAGTTACTCAACAAAATGTAACTCCAAATCTAGATGAATAAATAATCACAGCTAAGATCTCCTAAATCGTCTAGTCAATTCCCTCGATTAGATTGTGATTAATTTATGAAAGCACCCATCTAACGGATATTCCGAACAACTCAACTGATCTGACATGTCTGATGTAAGTATTTGAAAAGAATCTTTAGAAATAAATTTCCTTATTTGTAATAGTTTCCTTAGTCTTGTTTCCTATCTGATGAATTTTCAGTCAGAAAAAAAAATACAATAAACAAGATGAAAGCTTATGATAAATAAAAATTATTTCCTTAAATAATACCTCGAATATTTGTTTCAAATACACTAACATTAATATCACGTTCAATATCCAAATTTTGTATAATTGTATAAACACGAGCAAATTCTGTACTATTTCCAAGTACAGCTAATGTATCAATTGCATCAACAAGTGACAATGAATAACTATATTAAAAAAAAAGAAAATATATTTTTTTTAATTAAAATAAAAAATTAATTTTTTTTTACCTTCCCCATGTATCATAACTAAAAATTAATAAAAAAAAAGAAAAATCTTTTTGCTTTAAATAAATTATTTGTATCTTACCCATCACATGTTAATGGACGTAACTCATCGTATGGATATGCATATTTTAAATAAGAATCATATGCATGATAAAACATTTGTTGAACACGATCTCTAAATAAAAATTATTTAAAATTTATATATTCAAATATATAAAAACATTAAGAAAAATATTTACTTATATTGTAAACGTTTTTGTGTTGAAAATTGTCCCTCGTTAGAATAAACATGAGAAACAACAAATAAATATATTAAAATTAATATAAATTCTTTATCACAGAACATATTTTAAACATGATTTTAAAGAAAGTTTATTCAAATTTCGTACTCATATCAACTATTATTGTTTTTTTTTGTTTGTTTACCCATCGATTAACTTAGATGTGTATATATATATATACCATGATCAATAGGAAATATTTTAACATTGAACTTAATTGGTTTATAATATACCAATGAATATTTGTTATAGAAAATATTTTATAGGTTTAAAATAATATCCAATTATAAAATTGTTCTGTTTTGTTTTCTGTTTGGATTTGAATTGTCAATATAAAAAGAAAAAAAAAAAAATCAAATATTATCTATATACCATGGGAAATGATTTATCATCATCAACAGCACGAACACTTATTCCACTTGATGATTCTGTTTGTTGGCAACTTTACAATGGAGTTAATGAACGATCAGAACCAATTTCGATTTTTATAGCTAAACAAACGTTTTCTGTTGAATGTCGACGATCAATTCAAGTAAATTATTTCATTTTTTGAAACGAATAGTTCAAATTAAATGAAATATTATTGTGAAGACATTAAAAAGCTAATTCAATATAGAATTTTTGCTTACAAAAAATAATAATTAATTCATTATCTACTTATAATTTTCTCAGATTCTATTATATGATTAAAATTTCATATAGTAAAATCTTAATTGATTTCTGCATTGAATTAGCTTTGAAAATGTTTGAAAAGAAAAATAAATTTAAATTCTAATTAAATTATTTATTTATTTAGTTTTTAAAAACTATTCGTCATCCAAATATAATCAAATTTCTCACTGGTTTTAAAACTTTTGTTGATCATGATAGTTTTATTGCTGATTGTGTACATCCATTAGCAAATAAATTACATACTAATGATACTGATACATCAGCTAAAATTTGTTTAGGTCTTTATCAATTATCTCAAGCTTTAGAATTTCTTCATGAAAAAGTAAAAAAAAAAAAAATTTTAAGTTTAATTTTATTTTTTATTATGTGTTTATTGTTTTTTCTTCTTTCAATAGACATCTATTAGCCATAATAATATTTGTTTATTATCACTTTATATATCTCTAAATGGTATATGGAAATTAGGAAATTTTGAATGTGCATGTCGTTATGATAATCTTACTAAAAAATATTTATCATCTTTAAAAATGATTCGAGCTGAAGAATGTATAACACCTGAAGAAAATGAAAAGGTTTTTGAATTATAATATTATTCTATTGAATATTTGTCTATCTGGATAACTTTTAATATCTTAATAGGATTCAACGGATTTCGATAAAGAAGAAATTTATGCTATTGATGTATATGCATTCGGCACATTAATTCGTCATCTTATGACAATTGTCAATGTTGATGGTAAAAGATTTTATTTGTATATCGAATAGATATGAGCAACTCAAAAATAAATATCAGCTGTCTTATGTAGTTTTGTAAAAATTTAGTCAATACAGTATACTAGAGTAATTCTTTATTAGTATTTATAAATTTGAAATTGTTATATTTGTCTATTTTCCTTCTTCTTACGTGTTAATGTGTTCTTGTCCAATAATGTGTCTTCGAGGAGTTAAGTCGATCTTAACCTTAGAAAAATAACTGAAAGGTATTATTTAGGAAATTTTAATTTTTATGTTAGTTTAGTTGTCAGTATTAAAAAACGTTAATACTGAATATATCTTATTTAACTGTATACATACACATAATAAACATAAATAGAACTTTTAACTACGTTTATATTTTGAATATTTAAATGGCATTAATATTATAGATATACGAGCTTGAACTAGTTTTTCAAAATTGACCAAAATTCTCTTAGAATACTTTTTTCAAGATGTAGGAATTTAGACATTGTCAGATATATTATTTTTCATAATATGCATTATCTTTAATTATTTTCTTGCGTTTTTGTATGAAAAACTACAATAGATAATACAGGTTATTGAAACATGATTAACATGTATTTTTATTATATCTCATAAATAGATAAATACTCATTGTTGATTAGATGAATTTTGAAGTCAATAGTTGAATTTCATATATTCACAATATTACTGGTATTGAAATATTCAAAATTTAGAGAATAACCCATGTTGAGAATTAAACTAACATAATTACTAAAGTATCCTAAATAATAGATTCTAGTCATCATTCTGAAGTTGCTGCAATCGACCTTATTCTTCAAATCACACTCTATGGAGAAGAAAGCATAAAATCGATGAAAAATGAAAATTTACACTTGTGAAGCTTTTCTCATTAGACAATAATGAAATCATTTGCTTTGATTTTCAATTTGAGAAGTATAAATATCTCGAATATATTTCAAAGTGAAAATATTATTTAAAAGATAATTTTATTTTATTGATTAGATTCATTAAAAAGTCTTTTAAATGATTTACAAATATCTCTTACGGAAGAAGATTCACAATCACGACCAACTTGGTCAATGCTTCTTAAAACACAATTCTTTCAGTAAGAATTTGTTTTTTTGGAAAGAAAAAAACAGAAAACTTATTATAGAAATATTTATTTTTCTTTAGAATTGATTATATTAAAGCAATAGAACTTCTTGATCATCTACCAACCGTTAACGAATCCGATCTTCCTAATGTAGTCGAGTTCGTATTTTATTTTTATATTTTAATATATATTATTATTTATTGTTTTTAAAGTTCTCTATCAACATATCTCGATAATCTTGATACAGAATATTTTAATGAATTATTAATTCGTCGTTTATGTCTTCCGTTTATGTTTTTATGTTCATTAACGAGATCAAACATTATTCCAAGAATAATTATTCCTAAAGATGATAATAATAATTCATGGATTTCAATTGACATGTTTCGTACATATGTTATACCACATATAGTTGATTTATTTTCTTATCATGTAACATGTATACGAGAAACATTACTTGAACATTATAATTCATATTGGCAATTGATAGACCGAACAATTTTAATTAATATTATTCTTCCACAAGTAAAAATCTATTTTATATATTTTATAATTTTTTTCTTTTTCTTTTTCTTTTTTTTAGCTTGTTTATGGACTTAAAGATTCAAATAATACAATATGTATGTTAACATTAATTGCATTAGCTTCAATGGTACCAATTGTGGGTGCTGATGTAGTTATTGGTGGACAACGAAAACAAATATTTACTGATAAAATAAAGAAAGAAGTTTGTATTTATTTATTATATATTAATTTCAATTTAGATAATGTTGTTTTTTTTATTTTTTTTATTTAAATATTAGAATGTTGCATTCCCAAAAGCAGCAAAAGTTGCATCTAAAACAAATTCTCCATTGCCAACACCACCACTTCTACAAAAACCAAGAAAAACTAGTCCAATTTCAACAAATAAAACAAAGTAAGTTAAAATTTTTCTTGATTTATAATATAATATTTTATATTTTTCTAGACCACTTCGATTAAAACCAACTTCTGCAACAAAACCAAAATCAATTCCAACAGAACCATCTCAACTACTTCCAATTTCTCCACAATACACAAATGGAGATGATTCATCAGTAAATGATTTTATTGAAGAACCACAAATGACTATAAGACAAAATGGACTTTCTGATCAACATATTCAAGATGATATTGATAATGATGATGGTCAATGGTCAGATTGGGAACATAATCAAGATCCACCAGAATTATCAATCAATGATTCACAAACATTACATGAAACAGTAATATCATCTTCACCAATATCTGAGCAATCAATTCAATTGAAAACTACGAATTCATCATTAAAACCTTTGAAACTAATGGATTCTTCAAAATCAAAATGGAATCCGAATGCACCATTAGGTAGTGAATATGAAATGCCATCTGTTTTATTAACAAAAAATAAATTAACAAAACCAGAAACACCAGAAAAACAAGATACAGAAGATTTCTTTAAAGATATGACACCAAAAGTCGAAACAGTTGAATTAATGCGACAACTTGAAACAATGTTTAATATTAATACAGATCATTCAAATGAACAAATCAAATCGAAAATAACAACAACATCATTTTCTAATAAATTTGGTATTATGTCACAAGATCAAGGTGAAAATCAAGAAATAGAAAGTGAAAATAATAATTGGGATGAATAAATTATTTATTTTTCTTTATAATTGATACTTTCTTCTTTTTCATATAAACACAGTGATATTATTGAAATCGTATTTCTTAACCTGGTGGTTGCATTTTCAATATTTTCTTTGGTTTTTTTGTGAATATTGCAAAATAAATAGAATAACTCTTATTATCAATAGAAGTTATCTTTTATGATTAATTGTCTTTATATTTAATCGTTGTGAATAATTAAGATATGCTAACTATTTATTATGCCTAACACAATTGTTAGAAATAAATAATGAATGAAAATTTATGATTTGTTTTATTCATATAAGTTGAGTAAAAAATTTCTTTATTTCGAAAAAATTATCTTGTCAATTGGGTTAATTAAAATCAACTATATTCATCAATATGCTTGATTGTTAACGACCAGATATTGTTTATAAAAGTTTCGAAGTATTTTTCTGACGTATTCAAGTAATTTTTGTTGTTCTTCAACAGATATTTTATCTGATCATGACCATGAATAAACTATGTGAAGAAGAAATCTATATGATGTTTAATTGATATTACTCTTATAATACATTAGATAGTCTTTCATCTGATAGAAGATGCCCAATAAGAAATAATTTATTTTTAGCTTTATCTCAAAGAAATCTATCAGTAACTTGATCTTTTTCTTATTAATGAGTCATCATTTCAAGGATAAGATATAAATCATGTTGAACATTGGAAATTGTCGGTTTGAATAATTCAAAAACTTGAATAAAAACAATCATAAAAGATCTTATCAAATTGGCTTTATTACCCATTTCGCAATAAAAATACAAGAATAAACTTTTTAACTTTTAAAGAATTTGATTAGAAGCTTAATTTTTCTAATCTATTAATTGATTATAACAATTACCTTGGAAATAGTAGCCTACAGAATCTACTATATCTAAAACTTTATTAGTCGTTGTCAAATTATAATGAGCTTAATATTTGTATATTGCATTTTATCGAATGTTTGTACATTGACAATACTTATATTGTTACATGATAGAAACTTTTTGATCATAGTCATAGTTTTTATTTAATAAAACGAACGAATGAAAATAATTCAGCTGTTGTTAATCGATCGAAATAATCATATTCAATTATTTTCATGAGTAAACCAAGTTTATAGAATGTTGATAGTCGTACAATTACTTAAATATATTCAAATAATCTTCAATTTGAATTATAGTATTACATCCACTTATTCTCAATGTCATACAACAAAACAAAATTTCTTAGCAGAAATTTGATACAAAAAAGTATCCTATTTTATTTTTCAATAATATACATATGAACACATATGAAATTCTATTCTCTAAAAACACAATATTATATTCATGTGTTTTTCTATGTTTTCGATGTTTAAACCTTGACGTGTTGATCAGATATTGATGAAAGCCATGCTTGTTTAATTAACTGACAAGTACTTTCTGCAAAGATAACTTCAGAAGCATTTGTATTTGTACTTGAAGAACGATAAAAACTTGATGGATACATCTTTATATTTGATGAATGACAACATTCAATTAAGCAATTACGCTTATCAAAATGACATATACGTGTATCATGCAGTGATGATGAAGGACGATGAATTTTTGATAATATGTCATCTTTCATAAGATTTTGAGTTGTTTTTAATGAAATTGTATTTGAATTTGAACTTTTAATTGATGCAATAGTTGGACGATAAGATGAACGAGAATAGATATCAGCTGTTAGCGGTGGAATCGATGAATTAACAGGAGGATCTAGCAATAAAAATGAAAAAGAAAATTTATATAATATTTTGTTTTTGAATAGTCTTACGACAATATTCGGACTTTTCATTGTTAATACACAGCGAAAATAATGAATTGACTTTTTTCATTATTGGAATGGCTTTTGAAGATGAAAGTGATGAAAATATAAGAGGTAATATTTGTCCATCTTTTACAGAAAAACAATAAAGTGGATAAGTGGTTGAATGTTGCTTATTATGATTTGTTTGAGTTTGAGTAGATTTTGATGAATGAAAAATAATCGATTGTGAAGTGTTCAGATTAGAATTACTAGTGTCAGTAGTTACCATTATTTTAGAGTTAGTCTTGGACTGTAAAACTAGATAACTGTTACTAGATTTCAATGTTGATTGAATCCTATGAAGAATAGATAAGAACAAAAATAATTAATTGATTGCACAGAAAAAAAACTACGTGTTTATGTTTGGATCAATATTTTCCATTTGACAAGTAGAACATGTCATTGTCGATATAGTTCTATCATCGATTATATGATGATGTATTTGATCATCGTATTTTGATTGCCTTTTATCATAAACTAAAAAGATTTTTTTAACATATTCGCAAAACCAATCGATAAATGATGTTTTATTTGAATCATATTTTTTATTATTGAGTCGTTTTCTTTTGATTATCTTGTTCGAACATGATTTTTCCTGTACATTATGCTTAATTCTTGATGAAGGAATACAAATCGATGTTGATGGACCATCACCTGATTCTAATAACCATTTACGAATGGTAATCAACGATTTTTGACTTTTACATCGGTGACTCTTCATGTATCAATTTTATGTTAGAAAAAAAAACTTGTGAAATTATTATTTAGAGATAAAAGTAAATTAGGGCGGGATTTGAAATAAAAAGTAACGTTGAATCACATCTGTTAAAGAAAAGATTATTCTAATATTGTTGTTTCATCTAGGAAATCTTAGACTAAAAACAAAATTGAGAACAAAGTATTTTACAATTGTTAGTCAATCGTAATATTAACTAAACAAAATAGTTCAGTTGTTATCTATATGAAGAATATTTGTTGATTTCAAATAAAAATGTATGAGTAAACAATAAATTGAATAAGATTGATAACTATAAATAATAAAACAACATGATTATTGAGTTGACAATGAAGAATAAGCAATGGAACGAATTAATAAAAAATATATACAAATTCATAAAGAATTCACTGGACGATGGAAATGAATTACAAAGTAGTTCAAAAAAATTGAATTACAAAATAATTCGAAATTTTTATATTCTACCAGGACCTCCAGGATCGTACCTGGATTTACTAGGGGCTACTACGGTCTCGATGTGGGTGCCACGAAGCAATTTACATCACGTCTCCTTCGATGTGGGTACCGCAAAACCCTAGTAGACCCTGGTATACGAGAATAAACTTCTTATAATTATATGCATATATTTCTATCAATATGTAATATAGAAATTTTGAATTATTTTGTAATTCATTTGCGTCATGAACTCGAACTGATATAAAACAAACAAAATGAATATTATACCAACGAAAGATATCGAAAATAACGAAGTAAATTTTGAAAGTAGTTAGTACAGAAGTTCATCTTTTGGTATGATGAAAAAATGTTCTTTTTTATTATATTTTTAGTACTTTAAAAGATGAAACTATCGAGTTATAAAAAACTTTAAAATGGATAACGGATCAAAGTGATTAGTTTCATTAGAAAAACATCACAAAATGAATGTAATTATATATTTTCTATTTCAGAAAACGGCATTTAATTCAATTTACAACAGAACTTAAAAATAGAGTCCATATAAATCTGATACCAAAACGAAGATTTATTTCATTAAAGTCTTCTTTTTACGCTGTCTAGATGTATGTTCTTCGAATTTTTCTTGTATATATGTTATGTGTTAAATTATTTGTATGAATAGTTTGTATTTTAAATAAAATTTGGCAAAGATTGAATTTTTAAAACAAGTTTGAAATAGCATCTCATATGATGATGTGGGCTTAGATGTGGATGAAGATAGTACTCACCCAGATCCCATCCACTCTATGAGTTTCGAAGAAATTTGATATCTTATTCGTTAGAGCTTAACAAGACTCTAATACTTTGATTCACAACTTTTATTTTGAAGCAAAAAAAACAAATAGAATCAATGTGAATAGCATTAAAATAAAAAATGTAAAATTAACTAACCCAAACAGCAACAAATAGAGATACAAGGAGAAAATCATGAAAGTCATTGTAAGGCTTCAAAAAAATCTTCAAACTAATTGATATAATAGTCCATGAGACAGTGCAGCATCGACTTTGTCTTTCAACTGCGCCCTACAAACTTTAATATTTTGACATTGACTAATAAATGAGTGATGATTTTCATCACATTGTGCACATCTTAGTTAGTGCAAACAACTATGTGTTTGATTCTCGATGAGATCTTAAAGACATATAGGACAGCGGATAGATGAGATTTGACATTTATCTCTCAGATGTTTGATAAGCCTACAGCGGTCGCAATAGGTTATTGTATTGTCAGGAAGAAAAGGCGTGATCGTTAGTATAATATTTCCAGTCAAGATACGACTCATTCTCAAAGCTCTGTCATTCTCCCGAATATTCTTGACATTAAAATGGTTATCAGCTGCCTTCCGAGTATATGCATATTGAATTCTCTTCACACTTTTGACTACTGCTATTGATCTGGATATTTCTTCTCGTAAAAAATCAGGATCCATATCGCGTCATGCATATCAGATATCTAACATGAAGCAATTACAGATAGATGTTGGCTTCTGGATTATGATAAGTAAGCTAATGACCTGTACAGATCATTTGCCGGTTGATAAGAGTTTAATATTATCTTCCTTGTCGTTCACTTCCAATTTTAGTTTCATTTCAGTCCACTCAACAACAGTAAATAAATTGATTCGAACACCTTGTTGCTATTAGACGTTCAACGATTTAATCTGCGGCTCTACCAGCCCATGATATTTGTCAAAAAGCATCAGTGCCATCAAAATCCACATAAAAGCATGGTAAATTACTTGAGATAGCACAATTTACATGTTCGAGCAGGAGTCTGTTTTAGTGAGAAGGTTTTGTTGTCGTAAAGACCATTTTTTGTTGCTGTTGAGCAAAAGAAATTACCGAAAATAGCTGAATCTGATTGACATTTGATCATTGTTGTTTTGGTGCTTGTGGGCCGCCAGAGCCGGTATCATCGTTCAGTTTTCCAATGTTCAGCGTCGATACTCCTGGTTGTAATAGCGGCCGATGTGGGATACTCAGAGGCTGGTTTGAATACTCCTACAGTTGCTGTTCATTAGACGACGGTCGTTGAGTTAAGAAGGACAATTACTAACCATATGTTTGCAGTGCAGATAGCTGTTGATAATGCTGCTGATGAAAGCATAAATGATTATTTAAAAGAGTTTCATCATTTGTTAAAGAATAAATGGCTTCTTCTCGCTGTACGTCATCAAAACCATCAATTTGCGACTCATAATAGCCATATATGTACATATCCTGTCGACAGTTACCGATATTTTCGTTAATATGCTATTTATTTCTTGGACAACACTTGCTTTTCACCTGGATTATGATAATAATGCGCTCTCATTGTGAGCTACGTGAGTCACAATGATGTAAAGAAAAACAGAGCAAGGAAGTGAATATAAGCAAACAATGATGCGTCTTCTCTCGATGAAGAAAAGAGAAAAAATGATTACGCCAGTAACGAAGAATCTGCTAGATAAATCCAATCGTTCTCTTTTTGTCATTTTATATTTGTTTTAGAATCTATAGTATACAATAACACCATAGAAATACCTTTTATTGGTTGACTGAGCACAATTCGATTGCCTATCTACTTATATCTACTTATTTATGTGCTTTCAGCTTGTTTTTAGTTCATTCAACCGTGACTTCGATCAATCACTTCCAACCGTTTTGAATCGTTAAGCATCACGAGCATTTTCTTCGCTAGTATAAATTTGAGATGCATCTTCTATGCAAATAGCCCATAAAAAATCAGTCAAAATAATAAACAAATGTAAGCGTTATCTGTTTAATAAGCTCTCCTATAAAATTATATTGTAGGGCTGATATTGGTCTTATTGGCTTGGCTGTTATGGGTCAAAATCTTATTTTGAATATGAATGATCATAATTTTACAGTAAATTATTTATTTGTATTTGTTTAATTTAATAAAAATTTATTTGATGTTATTTTAGGTTGCTTGTTTCAATCGAACTGTATCAAAAGTTGATCATTTTTTAAATAATGAAGCTAAAGGAACAAAAATTATTGGCGCACATTCCATTGAAGAACTCGTTAAATTACTTAAGAAACCTCGTCGAGTTATGCTCTTAGTTCAAGCTGGTCAAGCAGTTGATGACTTCATTCAAAAATTGGTAAATGAATTTATCTAGATTTTCTTTTTTGGATTTTCTATGTAATAGATTCCATTACTGGAACAAGGTGATATCATTATTGATGGTGGAAATTCACTATATAAAGATTCAATGGTATGAAAATAAAATAAAAATTCATTTGTTAGAAATTCAATTTCTACTTTTTTTAAGCGACGAGCTGAAGAATTGGAACAAAAAGGATTTCTTTACATTGGTACTGGTGTTTCAGGTGGTGAAGATGGAGCTCGTTATGGTCCCTCATTAATGCCTGGTGGTAGTGAAAAAGCATGGTGAGTTAATTATAAATAATCATATATAGGACAACTATTTGAAAAAAATGTGGACAATTACTTTTTCTGTCACAGAGAGTAAGTGGTTCATTTGAAAATAAGAGAAATTCACTTTTTATGAAAAGTTAATGGTGTAAGAGTTAATACTTTCAGCTTAGCTTAAAAAAGCTATTCAATACATCAGAAAGAATTCTTTCTTCCTTCTTGTCAAGCCTTTTGTAGCTCTCTGGCCATTGCCGCCCTAAAAGGACGTTATTTTAGTTATACATATTGACAGGAGAGAAAAGAGAGAGCGACAGAAAGAAAGAAAGAAAGAAAACGAAAACGAAAAACGTGGAAAAAGAAAGAACGAACAAAACCAGGATAGATGTGATTTGAGAACTGCAAAGCATCGAAAATGTCTTTCATCAAGTATTAAAGTTGAATCTGTTATGTCATGGAATGAGATTGATGTAGCACACATAATTATGTGACTGTTTATCATAGACAGAAGCAAAAAAGAAAATTTTCCGGTAAAGACAGTAATATACATGTTTTAGTGACGTGTAGTAAAAGTGTTTAAGGCTCAACCGTTGATAGTAGCGAACAGAACGTAAAAGGCTAGTAACCAAGTGCAAAAAGAGAGTACGAATGTAGACAATAGAGTACATTGCAGTTTCATTGAGAGAGTTCCATCATATCTAATCGAGTTTACCAATGCTGTTTGCTGTCGAATTCACAAACAGATTCGACTGATGATGTTAACCGCAGCCTAGTTTTAGCAGTTAATCAATAACCTAAGTATTTAAGTGTAAAAATCTATTTAATTATAAGGTTTTCGCATTGAACAGTCAGTGTCGGATATGAATAGTTGATGGCACTGATAGAGAACATTATTTGGATTTTGATACTATTAATCGGCTAAACTACGAGTACAGAATAAAAGTCACGACAGTCAAAGAATTTATTAAATCTTTGCTCTAGGTCAATACATTGATCAGTGAAAGGGATTCCTATTAGCCTAGCTATTATGACAGTGACCGAATCGTCGGCAAAGAAAAAAGACACGGCCATGAGCAGCAAATCATCTATACCATTGTGATAAGTAATGAAAAGAGTATGGATGACAATCAAACTTTGAAGGCTATGACGACGAGTAAAAAATCATCTCGATCTTTTACTTTGTATCTCAATTACTTTGTAATATATCTTGCAGCCGCGCGCTGATCCATTTTAGGTACGCCTACAGAATACTCATTCAAGTTAGCTTTCGTGAGCATTCTTCAAAACATAGCTGATCGAAAGCTGATTTAAAGTCTATGAAAATAGTAACAACCAGGGAGCTGTTGTACATGTACAAGAAAAATCGCCCGGCGAGAAGAAGAAGAACTTGTAACTACTATCGATAGCTGGCGATAAAACTCGATTAATTGTCAAGCAGGATGCTTCTATCTTTCAGCACTGGAAGAAATCAGCAAAGAAAAAGTTTTTCTTATTATTTCAGAAAGAAATAAAGGAAATAAATTGGCCTCGTTTAATCTGGCATGTAGACGATGTCTTCTTTTGTTAAAAGGGTCAGACGAAGCATGTTGAACTTGCTTGTCAGAAAACTAGCGGCAAATCAATGATTTTATAGACAAATGAGTAGGTCTCAGTAGTTTCAAGGCATCTGTGCTAGTACAAACAAAGAGAGTCTGTACAAATGTCACGATCGCTTTTTGTTCCACGTCGCTAGAAATTTCAATATTTCGGGCTGGGTCACCATAAGAACTGAATCATCAACATTATCCCAACAATCAGAGGTGCATCGGCATATAGATGCGGGCAAATAATGAAGGAGGCTTTAAGTATTTGCTCATAGTGACTAATCGCAGTATCAGACATCTTATGAAGATCTTTCACTCTCTCCTCATTTGTAAAACAATTCATTTGACTCGTATTATCGTATATTTCACTGTTTGAGTTATTTTCAATCCTCATTTGTATTATAGTTTAACTATAGAAAAAAAATGCAATATCGATTATTTATTTTTTTTACATGTACTCTTTTAAACAGTACTGATTTTCAACAGATACATATTCAAGAAAATATAAATGCTGAATATGAAGGAAATAACATTATCTTCTATCTGTTGTACATTGAACAGATATGTACGTAATAGCATTGAAGATAAAAGTTAAACATTTGCATCTCATATTAAATTTTGCTAAAGATAATTATTGTATATAATTTATTTATAGGGAACATGTAAAACCAATATTGCAAAAAATATCTGCTAAAGCCGATGGTCAACCATGTTGTGATTGGGTATATCAATTTTATTTTTATTCATTTTTGTTTTGTTAATAATTTTATTTATAAAACAAAAAGGTTGGTCCATCAGGTTCAGGTCATTTTGTTAAAATGGTTCATAATGGTATTGAATATGGTGATATGCAACTTATTTGTGAAGTTTATCACATAATGAAAGATATTTTAAAAATGTCCAATGATGAAATTGCTGAAGTGAAATATTCTTTTTTTTCTTTCTTTATTTAATCGTTTTACAATATTTTATTTTGATTTTTAGGCATTCGAAGAATGGAATAAAGGAAAATTAGATTCATTTTTAATTCAAATAACAGCTGAAATATTACGATATAAAGAAAATGGTAAACATGTTTTAGATTTAATTCGAGATTCAGCTGGACAGGTTGTTTTCTTCTTTGACTTATGATTTTGTTTTTTAACGATTTTTATTATTTAGAAAGGTACTGGTAAATGGACAGGTATCGCTGCACTTGAATATGGTGTACCTGTAACATTGATTGGTAAAATAATTTGTTTAATTGAAAAAGAAAATTAAAAATAACATTTTCTTGTTTCTAAAAGGTGAATCTGTTTTTGCTCGATGTTTATCATCTTTACTTGACGAGCGACATCGTGCATCATCACAATTAAAAGGACCTAAAGTACAAGATTTTGATGGTAATAAAAAGGAATTCGTTGAATATCTTGGTGAAGCATTATATGCATCAAAAATCATATCATATGCTCAAGGTTTCATGCTTATGCGTGAGGCAGCTAAACAACATTCTTGGAAGTTAAACTATGGTTCAATTGCACTTATGTGGCGTGGTGGTTGTATTATTCGAAGGTATGTTTTTCTTTCATAAATTATATGATTTTTTAAGTTTTATTTTCATTAAAGTGTATTTTTGGGAAATATTAAAGCAGCATATGATAAAAATGAATCATTAGAAAATTTACTTTTGGATAATTTTTTTACGGATGCTATTAATAAATGTCAACAAGGTTGGCGAAAAGTTATTGCAACAGCAACTGTTTATGGTGTACCAATACCTTGTCTTAGTACTGGTAAGATTCTTTTATTTTTTTTCTTTTTGATGATTTAAATATTTGATTAATTTATTTTGTTTTATTTTAAGCATTGGCTTTCTATGATGGTTATCGTTCAAAACGTTTACCAGCCAATCTTGTACAGGTTAGTTGAAATTTTTCTTGAATTTCTTTTTGAATTTTGAGAATAGAAACAGGAGAAGAAATTCGAAGGAAAAAAAACATCAAATGAATCATTTTTTTAGGAAACAAAAAAACAGTATGATATTGTACAAGCAAAATTATAAAAAAGACTTTATGTAGATTAATGATGGATTTGAATGTGATTTTGTTTTTAAATTATTTCTAGGCTCAACGTGATTATTTCGGTGCACATACATATGAATTACTTGACAAACCTGGTGAATGGATTCATACAAATTGGACTGGTCATGGTGGAAATGTTACAGCATCAACATATCAACATTAGCTTTTTTTTTCATTGTGCTTTTCATGAAACTAGTTTTATTCGCCAGGTTGTTGTGCTTTTTGTTTAGTGTTTATTTTTTTTAATATTATCCTGCTTTTTATGCACCCATGAAAAAAGAGGTGTTCGTAGTTATGACTGTTTATGGATAAAAGAAGATTTAAGAATGGTTATTAATCAGAATATAAAAATAGTGTCTTAGAATAAATTGGATTAACTCCTATTGAATAGAATTACTTTTATAAACGAATGAAATTTTTCCAAAATGAAAATTTTGCTTAACTGTTTAATTGTTATTTGTTGGATATTTTGTTCATTTGGTTTTTGTTAGTTCTCTGATAGTTACTATTTTAATATATGAACAACAGAAAAATGTGTAAATTAGCAGAGAAAAATATGAGTCAATCAGTTATGAAGTGATTCAGAATCACCATGTATATATGCGTGACATGTTTCGAAAGGTTTCATGAAATTTGACTTCAAGGTGTTGTTGACTTAAGAGCCATTGCATGTAAGCCACGACCTAATGTACTCAATCGAGTTTCTTCGATTTGATTCATTTTCATACCTATGATAGAGGACACTATTTGATGATGTTTGACGCAAACCGCAACAAAAAATATTGAATTGTTATTTTTTTATTGATTTCTTTCGAAAAGCCATTTTCAAGACCATAAAAAATTAGCGCATTATCACGACCATAACTCGAGAAGGCTTCAACATACTCAGCTGAAACTTTGACCAAATATTTATAGTAGGTAATGCTAACTGTGAAAAAATATTCAGCTAAATCGGTTATGTTCTTTGTTTTCTGTAGATATCATTAAGTAAGGGAAAAATGCTAATTTTAGCTATCTTTGTGGTTCTAGATCTGGTGATTAATGCATGATGAAGCCCTGAAATTATTTTCCTGGAAACAGCTCTGTGACACCTTACTTCAGTAAAAATTTCAGCTTCCTGAGTCAAAGCGTTTCTTCGTGGGAACTTTGCCAAAGTTCAGGTTTTTGCCAAATTAGCGATTTTGGGCTGCGGTGGTCTCAAAAAATATATAATTATTTTCACGAAAAACACTTGGCCCTGATAGGCCTGCCCTAGATGTACAACCTAATGCAAAAACCAACCTGGGACCTCTATGGGGTCGTTGGCCAATGGCGTTACGCGGACAGTCCTGCGCAGAATGGATTAGTTTTTATATTCTTTTTGAAACAGCTAGGAAAAATAGGTAAGTCATGACACCTGGGTAATTTTTGATGCAGAAAACGATGGCGATAAAATCCTGTGTAGGACAGAAAGGTGAGGGGGTTGGCGAGGGGTTTGATTCTTACAAAAGCTTATATGTGTCGAAATAGTGCTTTCTATGAAGACAAAAACTTTTCCAATTTTTTTCGCTACTGTCCCCTCTCCGCTCCCCCCCCCCTCCCCCCGCCGCATGCACTCCTCTCAGGATTTAAGTTCACCGTACGTCGATTATGTTTTCTAGGTTACTATGTCTTATGATGGACTTTTTATGAAGACCCAATCTTTTGGCTTGTGTAATGAAATTTGAGAAATTCTCTTCAACAAATATCACAATAAACTTGTGATAAATGTAAAATCCCTGTATAACTATATTTACGGTAAAAATATTTTCAAGTATAAAGGAAAGACATTTTTTTTCAAAAGCTCCCTATAAAGGCGTAAGATATTTTTAACACGAACTTGTTTCTGGAATCCTGGAGAAGTGTAGGGGAAATTTGACATTAGATCCCACTAAATATCGCGAAAGTGGAATCGAATTCTTAGCGATAAACTTTTACAAAGCTGGTGAGCTTCATCTGCAATTTAAGTCAGTTTCACATCAAGTTATTTCTGTGTTGAGTGTGTTACCGAGACTTGAAATCATGTTCGATATTATAGTATCAGCTATGATACACTTCATTATCTAACACAAATGATGAAAAAAGTGTAATATTTCACTACGCCTCTAGAGATTAGTAAACACTAAAATATCGATGATTTACGTTGATGTGAAGGGCACTTTTAGTATTTTAGAAAGGATAAAAATCATTTGTGTGATTTTTTATCAGAGAAAGAGACATTTATTTTATCTGATATCTGATGATAACGCATTTATTATTAAATGAACATCGATATTGGAATTTGCATAAGGAGTTTTTCAAAAAAAATGTCTTTCCTTAATACTTCAAAATATTTTTATGGTAAATACAGTTATACAGAGGTTTTTACATTTATCACAAGCTTATTGTGATATTTGTTGAAGAGAATTTCTCAAATTTCATTACACGAGGCAAAAGACTGGGTCCTCATAAAAGTCCATCATAATACATAGTAACTTAGAAAACATAATCGATGCACGGTGAACTTCTGCCCCTGCCCCGCTCTTTCAGGACCAAAAATTTTCAAATTTTTCATTTTTTTGCTTTACCTGTGTTTTCAAGCGTCCTCTCTCTACTGGTGACATTTTGAGAGCTCATACATAGCTCTATATCCTAAATAAAAACGAATGGATAAAATAATTGCCGTAGGGGTATAGCACGTTTTTTTCTGTTTCCCGGTTCTCTGAAAATTCGGTTTTTCAGAGAAATCTACCAAATCACCCCCGTTTCTCAGGCACACTACATTCGATCGGGCTGAAATTCTTCTAGGAATATTAGAGACACTTTAGGGTGCTGACTTTTTAATTTTGAAAAATATTGTACTGCCGAGTTTTTCCCGGTCTCACAAGACAAGCACTATTCCAAAAAGAGATGCATTTTAGGGTGCTCTTAGTATTTTGGCCTTTTTCTTCGAAAAGAAAGAGATACAAAGAAACCAAAAAAAGTAGTCCGCCTAAAGCGTCTCTAGTATCTGCAAAAAAAAGTTTCAGCCCAAATAAACACACCCTCTCAGAGAAACGGGTGCGATTATTGACCCCTTTTTTGGACCTTGTGACCCCTATATCTCTCTGAAGGAAGCATCGGATAATTTTGAGTCTATGACAGCTTTTGCTCTACTCATCGAGATCCGTCTATCCTGAAAGTTTCAAATCTTTCTAACTAGCTGTTCTCAAAAAGTGCCCGAAACGGAGGTCCCCTGAAATTCTGAAAGGAGTCCATGCAGTGAGGGGGGGCGGGGGGAAGCGGAGAGGAGACAGTAACGAAAAAAATTGGAAAAGTTTCTGTCTTCATAGAAAGCACTATATTCGACACATATAAGCTTTTGTAAGAATCAAACCCCTCGCCAACCCCCTCACCTTTCTGTCCTACACAGGATTTTATCGCCATCGTTTTCTGCATCAAAAATTACCCCGGTGTCATGACTTACCCGTTTTTCCTAGCTGTTTCAAAAAAGAATATAAAAACTAACCTATTCTGCGTAGGGCTCTCCGCGCAACGCCATTGGCTAACGAGTCCAAAGAGGTCCCAGNTAGTTGATGATAAATTGCCAATAACATTTTCCATGGTTTTTCTTCATATAGAAGACTAAAATTTTTATTACATAAGTAACCCACCAAGACCTTTCATTTTCCAGAGTTCTCTATCCGGAAACGACATTTCTTCGGTAAAAATTTACCGGAAATTCACAAATTCAAGAACCGAAATGATTGGTGTAGACAACACAAAATACTAAAAATCTTTTCTATAATCACAGCTGATGGACATTTAAGATTAAAATTTTTTATTAAATCTGAAAGGTTCTAGATATTGAGAAATTCTTGTATAATTAAAACAACTTGGCTATTATGTTACGATCAACTAAATAATAAATTATGATAGAAATTCAGTACGAATATTCATGTATTTCAATATTATCCAAGAATTTTAGAACTAGTTTAAGATAGAAAACTGAAACTTTGGAAAATGAAAGGTCTTGGTGGGTTACTTATGTAATAAAAATTTTAGTCTTCTATATGAAGAAAAACCATGGAAAATGTTATTGGCAATTTATCATCAACTACTATGGAATTTCCTTTATATGAAAATATCTCAATGGTCGAAGAACATATTCATATCAGTTTAGTTATATTTTCATACATTGAAATATGTTTGCATTTAAATATAGTTCTTCTGGAATGTCATATTAACTATTTCATCTATTATAACTTTAATTTTTTTTTTTAAAGTAACATAAAATATTTCGAAATAAGTTTTAATCGATATAATACAGATATTGTATACTTTGACTTAGAGATGATGTCTCGAATATATGAAGATAATGTACATTTTAATTGCTTCACGATAGATTGCACATTCCTGTAATGAATCCTGTGTTTCTATGAGCCACGGAGTAGTTTATGTGAGCATTAAGTTTTTCTTTATAAGTGATGACATATACAGGCAAGATTTGTCGATTCGAATATACAACATATATATTTGATGCGTCTGTTGTTGAATCGTATCCAGTTGGACACATTCTCATGGTTTGATTACCTAGACATGTTCGACCAACAAGTACTCGACATACAAGTATAGTTCTTTCATCATCATTTAACCGATCTCGAGTTGTATAATTATGGCTAATACAATGGTCAGAAGAAAAATAAAATCCATAGCCATATGATACACCTAAAATAATTTAATTGAATATAATTTATTTTCAACTCAAATATATTACCATGCATGCCAATAAGTTTATGATCAAAACCATGTTGAATTATTTTCTCGGCAGTTGAACGTGAACATCCATGAAAAAGATACTTTTCACTTTCATTATGATCAGATTGAACATTGATAATTTTCATATGTTTCTTCTGTTCAAAATATTGTATCGACCATGATGCATGTTCAACTTTCTCAATACGAACTATCTGCATAGATGAATTCTGAAAATCTCTAATCATTTTTTCTACAGTAGATGAATATTCAGTATGAGGTTTCAAGATAACTGTTCGCATCAATTGATTATTTTCATTCGAGATAATACTCTTATGACAAATTTTCGAATGTAGAAGCTCAGCTCGACGATCAAACTTTTTGCGTGTTTCTAAAAGATTAGTATATGTCTCTTCACTTGACATTGTACCTTGGATGACAGACACAACATCAATTTGACTTTGATGAACAGAAAGGCAGACGAGTAATGGATATGCATCAAGTGGATATGAAATTATTGTCATTATTACTGCCTCAGTTGTGTATTTGAATAACATTGACAATAACCTAAAAGTTAAAATTTCTTTATCTTTGTTTTCATGGAATAATTTGGTTGTTCATGAAAATTTGTCAGATTAACATGAAATCGATTGCAAAGTATTATCAATTGATATGTTCAATCATATTGTTTTTTGTAACTAAACAGTATTACTTACGTAGAATAATCGACATCTCGTGTTCGATCCCATATCCAAACTAGAAATTGTTCAGCCAAGTAGTTAATGATCATGTCTACACATAAGACATATCGAGAGAAAATATTCACAGCTATACTTCGATCATGATGTATGTAGAGAATAAGTGGACAAGGCTATAAACAAATTGATATTGTTCAGTTTTTGTTTTTCGTATATAAAAAGAAAAGATAATTTACAACTGTGGGTTCAAATAAAGAATGGTTTAGAGCTTCATTGAGTGAACCGATGAATGGTATTAGTCCTGGTCCTGGATATCGTTCGGCAAATGTGCGTAAGAAGCATTCAGCCATTTCTTGTTCTTTATCAACCGCTGGTAATTCATTTTCACCTAATTTTAGGATTAAATTTGTTAATTCATATCAAAACACTTTTTTTTGTACATTCGATGAAAAATAAATATTGAACAATAATTTAAAGAAAACTTCAGGCGGAAAAATATATCTATCCTTTTAAACTGTCATCAGCTTTTCTCTTCTCAAATCATAAATTCAAATTTTTTCTTCTATAAAATAATTTTTAGAAATTCAAAGAAGTTCTTTCAAATTTGAATTCTTTATGTGGTAAGAAGAAAATAGAAGTTTCCTTACTTTCTTTTTATTATTTTCGAATTATTTAATAGAAGTTGTCTTTTTTGTATAATAAAATGTGAGAGTTTTCTGTCAACATTCTCATGCTGTTTAGTACAAAAAACCTTTTGAAAAACGATCAAAAACAACCTTTCATTATAATTTTTACATGATTCAATACATAAAAAAAGAATGAAATTATTCGATAGAAAAAAAAAATGATTCTTCTTCATATTATCTCAAAAAGAAACGAAATACGATTCATAACTTACTCAACTTTCGAACATTGATGAAGAACTTTTCATCAGTCGTTTCGAACTATGTAGATTGTCAGTATTCGAAATCAAATATCTAATATTAACTTACTTGCGTATCATTGGAATTAAATGAATTAATTCCTTCCATAAGATCAAATTTTTGTGTACTGTTTCGATTTTTTCCTGTCCTTTTTAAGCGTATTTGATAGCGACGATGTTGTTATCTTTGTTTTAACTCGTCTAACGACATTGTTGGAAAAAGTCCATGTGTAGAATACGCTTATCATCATAAAAAAATCGTTGATTAGCATGAAAGCACACCTTTATTAAAAGCAATAGAGGATATTTAAAATAATAGATGCCTAGTTTATTCAAAAAAAGATGTTATATGTGAGTGTTTTAGTGAAAAAAAAAGAACAAAATATATTCAATAGGATAGGGTGTGAGTGTGAGTATGGATGAGCAGAAGATCCATATCCTCACAATACATCCATCAACAGTCACACCCTATCATATCGGCGACAGACTTTCTCCCATTTTATGTTCATCTGTTTATATTAAACTATTTTTTTCATTTACGAGACTTTTTTATTAATTTATCTTTCCACATCGTCTCCCTTTGAAATTAATCACTGTTTTTAGCATTGAATTGTATTCATATATCCCCTCCCTCTCGTTTCCATAGGACATATACTTTGAATATTGCCTCTGTCTTAACAATGGTATGCTTTTTGGCTAGCATTTTTTTTTTGTTCTGTCTTTGTGTATAGAAATATTGAGAGTGTGCTTATTCCGCGCATATACTGTTGTAAAATATCAAGTTGGCTTTTTTTTCGAGAGTATGACTTACTACCATTTGCCACGTAATGTTTGAAGCATGAAGAAAAAAAAGAAAGAAAGTTTTCGACCTTCATGGAAATAGCCAATCGAATTCAGTCAGTTTGGGCGCTTTAAGAGACAAAATATTTTCCAACAAAATTCACATCACATTCGCTACATCTGCCAAATATTTAAATTTAAAAGAAGACATGGGAAATTTTCAAATAAATAAATGGTCAATTATTTTGCTTACAATTATATTGTCTTTGAGATTCTTTTGTTTTAACATTATATTGTTCTCAAACAATTTATGATAATTATTCTTTATTAAACATACGGCAGAAAACTTTCAACTGACTAATCACTATGGAATTCGGACTCTGTGTATAAGGTAGACTTCAGTAAGACATGAAAAAACTCCAAAGGATAAATGCCCTTAGGTCTTTTATACAGATTTATGGGCATTTTGATCTGACATTCTTTCCCGAGATATGAAAGCAGACGTGCAGAATCTGTTAATAAAATAAAGAATTTCCCCGAACGGCAAAAGTTTTGCACAAGAATTTCTCCTGCTATAAAACTCAATTAAAAAAATGAGTTTTCTTGTTTTCAATGTTTATATTAAAAAAAAAACAATTACCACTTTTTAACATATTATAAAGACACATTAAGAAAATAGCTACTATTCAATATCGTTTATTTCATGTTTTCTTGTTACTTGTGCTTTTCGTAAACGACTTAATCTAACTGAACCAGAAGAAACAGGTTTCGATCTGTCTTCTATTCCTAATTTCGTGGAATTAGGATTACTCGGATAGAACCGAACCAAACCAAAATTAATTTTTCAAAATTAAATCCAAACTGAGCTGAACTCGCACCAACGAAAAATAGTTTGATTCAGTCACTGATGACCGTACATTAGTCATCCTAGTGGTATGGTACGCACATGCACATACAACAGCAACTGTATGTAGCAGCAAAGGAATTAACGCAAGTAGTGACATTTCATTAGGAAAAAATATAAAATGAAACGAAGACAACTCAAATAGTACGTGTTATCTCATGAATAGGTATAAAGAGGCAAGATGAAAGAAGTGGCAGGGTGCATGATGAACGTAAACAAAGGTAGACGATATCGACACTAAGATAAAGACACGGATGAGTCTTTCAAAAGTTTAATGAAAAGTAAAAAGAAAAGTAGAAAGTTTTATCGATGTATACATACAGGTTGAAACAAAAGTAAGAAAACAAAAAATTGTTTTAATTTCATCTCTATACATGAATAATAAAATCTCTTATTTATAGCACATATACTAGGTAGTGATAGTCAGAAATGTGCCATATCATTCATCTCTACGCCCAATAGTTTGTTTCAAAAACACACGGATTTATCTCATATATTCCTATGCGACTGAAACAAGAACTATTGATTTCTTGTAGAATTTGATAACCACTTTTCATCTGACTGTACCGATTTGCAGGCTACAACATATTTTTATTATTTTCTAGATTGTTTTATTTTTAAAAAATTCAAAACAGAATATACTATCCCATTTATGCTTCAAATTAGTCCAATCAAACAAAAAAACAACGAAAATAAAAGTCGACAAGAAATAGTCTGTTTTGCTATAGTTACAAAAGAGTATACAAAATATATCGGCGCGCTTTTGAAACAAACTATTGAGCTCAGAGACTGATAATATGCTACACCTGTGACTATCGCTACCTAGCAAATGTGATATAAATAAGAAATTTTACTATTCATGAATAGAAATGAAATAAAAAAATGTTTGTATTTCCTTACTTTTGATCCACCCTGTATATAAATAAACCGAGCTTTGTTTGAAAAATTGAAACATTTTTCCCACGAGAGAAAATATTTGTCAAAAAAATTTTCTCAGATGATACTAAATCTTCAACAATTTTCCTGAACGGCCGTTTGCGTACACGAGTAGATTCTACATCTCTGTATGAAAATCGTAAAAACAAGAAAATTCTAGCATCTTCCGTGGAACATGAATGATTTTTTTGCGATTTTAATATCTCGGAAACAAATCTCAGTCTCAGGTCAAAATGCCGCCATACGATTTGTTGATATATACAATGTCAGAGACTAAAATTCTGATAAAATACCTAGAACTCTGAGCAGAAGACCTAAGGGAATTTATCCTTTGGAGTTTTTCCATCTTTTACTGAAGCCTATCTTATGTACAGAGTTTGAATTCAAAATCAATTGGTTAGTTGAAAACGTTTTCTCATCAGTTCAGTATAGAATAGTGTATGAATATGCTCAAATATTTGAGCAAAAGAAAGTCTTCATATCTACTTATTTTCAAGCATCTTTGTCGGATTTATTCCATATATGAAATTTATATTTTATAAATAATCATGTGCAGTTTCGATAATTACATAGTGATACTATTGTCCTACGTGCCATTTTTGTCAACATTCAATGAGAACATGATCATATATTTAGCAATTATGATTTTTCTTAAAATGATTCTCATAAGAATTATATCAAAGAACATTAAAAAAAAAAAGATCATATCAATATTGACTATGCCTGGCGATGTTTCATTTCCTCTCTGTCGAAAAGAATTCTGTTTGATCTCATTACTTTTACTTCATGTCCTTTTCTCTTGTCATCATTCAATAGCGTGTTTTTTTTTTCATTTTTATGTTTACTTTAGATATACTTGTTTGAAGTTGTATTATTATATCGATTGCAAATACATTCGTTCTCTTTCCATTTGCTGTGTACTATCTACAATCGACATATTTAGCAATTTAAGTAATTAATATTTTATCAATTAGAATTTTGTTAGAAAAACAATGTCTACTAAATTAGTATTTGATCGATTTTCTTATAGCGTCTGTCTTTGATCTGATTGTCATTAATTGACCTATAATCCTTTTCATTTATGCACTCGATCATATCGATTCTGTCAGTACATCGTTGATTATATGAGTAACTCATCGTTATCTCATAAATACTTCTTTGATATATTTTTGATACATAATTGTTTTAGTATGTGCCAATCGCTATGATGTGTATAATTTGCAAATTTCTGTTAGAAATTTTTTGTTGATTCCGAATCAGTTGTTATTCAATAACAATTATTAAAATCTTTTAGTTTATAGTGAGTATTCATCTACTTATGTTTGAGAGTATTGAAAATTATTAATATTGCATTGATAGATTATACGAACGTGCATATAAGTAATTATCTATCATTTTGTTCACTTTTGAATAATTTCTATTTCTTTAATGGTTATTTTTGGTACTATTCTTATAATTAAACCATGGTTACTGTAATCGTGTGTTCAATTATTTCACAACTATTCAGACATCAGCAGTGTAGACTTCAAATTAAAGACAGATTGCATTAACTGAATTAATCATGACTATCTTATGCACATTCATAGATCCATTAATGACATTTTATTTGATCAAAAATAAAAAAAACAATATCGCATTAAACAAGAGTTCTCAACGATAATAACATTTAATTGTTTTTGTAAATTTTCTGAGAATATCCATTTTCATCTATCGAAAATTAAAAATACAAGATTATTGATCGAAACTACAAGAAATCAAGACTCGCTATGATATAATTAATATTACTAATACTTAACTTAAATTAGAATACGATATTCTCTCTATTATATTACGTCAAACTCATTTTAACATTCAATTAAACATTTAGCAATCGTGTAGCGCACAACCTTGAAATATGACATCAGAAATATACTAGACAAGATTACAATACATAAAATGACAATAAAATGAATTAACGAAACTATTTTGAAAGAAAAATTAATTTTGTATTTGTTATCTTTTTTTTTTTTTTTTTTGAATAAAACCTGCTTTAATTGTTAATAAGTTTTTTAGTAAATAGAACCGAAGTCAATGAAATGAGAATGTTATATAAAGAATCAAAAATTTGTCTAATATATAAAATCTTTTCTAAGCAACCAACGAGATCGATACAGGTGATACGTAATTATATATGACAATTGCTAGAAAATCGAATAATAGTTTCTACTTTAAAAAGAAAAATTTTATTATCCTTTACGGATCGTGACATCTTCAAATTTCGTAATTTAATTATAAAAGTAACACATAATATAATTTTCACTATATTTATTTACTTTCTTCGAAATTATTTTTCTATCAATAGAATAAATTATTATAATTTATATTAATGACATATGCCATCATTATGTTATCGACACAAAGAAAAACGTACGATTGATTGACTTTTCTCATTTTTTTATCATTAGATGTAAGTCAATGTGATGAACATTCATTAAAAAAGAATTAAATTAAATTCTCATTATTCTTTTCACATGATTAATCTAAATAATATTTAATGTGTTTACTAAATAAAGTATATTCTTTTTTTGTATTCGAACATATATAACTATTTTATTTAAGAATGATCTTCTGATAAAATAAATCTATTAAAAGGATTTAATAAACCACTTGACATACATTATTAGATAATGACAAAACTATCATGATAATTAACTTCAATAGAATATGATATATAAAATATATAAAAAAAGTAATTAAATCAATATGATATTTGCTATCCGTTATTTACTCATCATAGGTAAATCCGAAAAAACCTTTATCATAATTTTATGAATTATTTTCAGTATATAAACAAAATAAATACTATTCTATTGAATGCATGACATAGCGTTATTAACAACTTCTTTTTTTCCATCTCATATAAGTGAGTGAAAAAAAAAAGCCAAAAAAAGAAACTTTTAAAAATCTATTACATACTTTAACACTTCAATGACATTTAATAAGCATGAAAAGCAAGAGAAAGAAAAGAATATATAATGAAAAAAAGTGAAGGATGTAGTTCTATGCTAAACGAAAAAGGAACAGAAAAAAGAATATACGACAAAGACAAAAGCAGAAAAGAAAAGCATTATAATGATTGTTAACATTCTTCAATATGAAGACATGACATTTGACTATATAATTTCAAATTTAAATATCTTCTGATCTTGATTTTATAGCAAGCCAAAATGATAATCCAGTAATAATAAACATCAATCCTAATGCAATTATTTCATAACCAGCTGCCCATCCAATTTTTGTATGAAAATGTGTATTGGCATCGTTTATTAATTCCTCTTCACCTTTAAGATAACTTTCATGACTAAATATTTTTTCTAAGAAAAATAAAACATAAAATATTAAAAAATTTCTTTTGTTTTTCTTTTTCATCAGTTTTACCATGATGTTTAGCATAATTACGAAGACTATGTAAATCAAAACTTTGTAATGCTCGAGTTTCATTAAGTATACTTTCTAATGGAAATGAATAATCTTCATATATATCTCGTCGAAGATCTTTATTTTATAATACAAAACAAAAAATAATAATAATAATAATAATAAACAATATTTAATTATTCTTAATGACTTACATGCACCAATAAGAATTAATCCAGTTGCCATTAAAAGTAATGTTAATAGAAAACAAATAAACGGTCCATAACCAAGTACAAGAAGCGCACTATCTAAAAAAAACCAAAAAGTTATATTTTAAAATAAAATTAAAATATACGAACCATTTTGTGGTGATGCTATTGTTTTTAAATAAAGTAAAAGTAAACCAACTACAAGAAAAATAGCTGCTAAAACTGTTAACCATTGTAATGCTTTAGCTGATGGTAAATAACGACATGAACATCCTTCAGGTAAGTCATTTTTTTCAATAACTGGACAATTTCGACGAATACTATAGCATGTATCAAATTTATCCGGTGAATATCTCATATAACGATTTGGCCAACATATTTGAACATTTGGTCGAGTACCAAAAGCAACACCTTGTTTCGTTAGTGGAATATCCGAATATTCACATCGTTGCCATAGACCATAACTAACGGGTGCCATTTTTGGCTCAAGATCTCGTCCTGTTACTTTCCAATGAGGTGAACACCTTAAGTTTTTTTTTTAATAATAAAATAGAAACAAATTTTGAATATGGCAATCAAACTTACATAGCTAATAAATGAAGAATTAAAGCAGCAATGCCCAAAAATAGAGCTATTGTGACAAGTATAACACCTCGAATTTGCATTATCTATTTATAAAAAGAAGAAAAAATAAAAATAGTAAAATACTTTTTTGAAATACTTTATTTTCTTTCTGTATTTATTTAGAATAGAATCTATATGCCGTTCTACCTGAATTGAAGTTTAAAGATTGAATTACGCATTTGATCTATTAGATAACTTACAGAATACAACAGACTAAAAGATACCAATTTTATGTAACAATGAATTCTAATGTTTTATAATTTAATTAAGTTAAAATCTATATAAATATATAATTTATTGTTTTAAAGTCAAATTATTTTTCTTCCTACATCAATCATTAAATCTGTCATCGAAACAAATATTTGAACAATTCATATTCTCATCCGTATAAATGAAAAAAAAATCGTTTGTTTTAAATAGACTAGAGACACACACGCACAGACAACAACAAAAATAACTAATTTTTGACGTTTTTTTATATTTAACTATGATTGATGAATAAGAAAAAATAAATAAATCAGATGGATATTGTAATTATTAACAAAAATTGATGATTATGAGAAAAACTTATCGAATTTACTTACCGTTAATCAATTGTAAAAGCAATGAAAGCAAAATTTTGCTTGCAAAAAAGAAAAAAATAATTATAAATGGATCTGAAAGAGAAGAAAGAAACGTAGAAATAGGTCTGCTTTTAATGTTCAATGGTGCTGTTGTACGCTCATAATATGCCTATACATATATGTATTCATCAGTCAAGCTGTTGCTAAAAAAAGTATCTCTTATTTGCTGATGATGTAAAAATGAATAAAATCTCGTCGTACTATTCTCATATTTCTCTTTTCGAGCTGTTCGTGCCCACACATGCACGTACACACACGTCGTTGTCGTTTCAAAAACGATACCAACTATAGGAATGAAACCGACGGATCAGAATGGCTTATCGATGTCGTCATTGTCTCCCATAGCGTCCATTGTTCCATTACTGTTTTCATCTCTTTCGCTTTCTATGATCCACTCTCTCTTTCATTATTGAATGTATGCACAATCTCTCAACACCATTACGCCTACCAATAAACGATTGATATGAAGAAAAAAAAAACGATAGACAAGAAAATAAAAAAACACTTATTATTTCACATTTGTCATTATTTTTCCTCATCTACTTGTTTCTTTCATGATAATAAAGTGTATAAGAAGAAAAAACTAAATAAATATCTAACACACGAACTATTAATCCATATTTTATTTTCTTCATTCAAATTCATGGATATAGAGAAACATAATAGATAGATAAAGAGAAATAGTATAATACAGAAGGAAATACGAACGAGCGAACTAAAGTATATGTAACAGAGGGAGAGTCGATTAGCTTGTTGTACATGCCTGTGTGCAAACATACAAAGGCCAATTAATGATGTGAGTGAAAGAGAAAAATAGAAGCAAGAGGGAAATGCGATGGTGGATTGATGCCAAAAAAAAAAGAATGAATCAATGAAAAATGAAGGGAAAAAAAAAGAAGAACGAAGGAGAAAGAGAGAGAGTTCTCGCTGTCTAGCACCTCATTGCAGTAACCACAATTGTCAGTCGTTTGTTATCTTTCTCTCTTGAGAGACAAGGCAACCTTACCATCAACATTAAATAGAAGGCAAAGAGAGAGAGAGAAAGTGAGAGCGAGCATTGAAAATGTTCCCTATCTATACGATAAACAAGCACAGAACGGACGATGAAACGTGTACCAACACTAAGCATTTATTAACATTAGCAGCATAATATAATAATAAAAAAAAAAAAACAATAGAAGGTCTGTTGTGAATAAGTCATTGTGGAGACCAAGATAAACGATCTATAATATTGATCGCTTAATGATTACATATGATAAAAGATTATCTCGAGTATATTTATGAAGCGTCAATTTTCTCGACTTATAATAACAACGAGAACAAAAATCCATATCTGTGTTACTAATATGAATACAATAGCAACAATTTCCGTGTCTGGAGTTCAATTAATGAAACGAAAGAAAATGTTCATGAATTCATTGAAGATTTTATCTAAATGAAAATCAAAATAATAAAAAAAAACAACTTTGAATTTATATATATTCTTTTGATAAGAATTATCTAATCTGATGTGTTTAACAAGAATCATTTTTTTTATTTTACTAATTTTATATCCTAGTTCAACGATAATTGAACACCAATAAGTATCATTATAATTTAACGTTATCAATAAAACGATGTTAAATAATGCAATAGATTCAAAAACTTGATAATAATTTTGTATTTGCTGTAAAAAGCAATAAAAAAAAAGAGTACCAATAATATAGAAGTAAATGATAAGAATAATAACATAGAGAATCAAACATCATTGAATTTAACCAGCAGGTGAACAGCAGTATTTATTGTTGCGATAAATATCTTTAACTAATACATATTGAGAACATTGGCATTCTTTTAACTGGTATTCCATCATGAATGTAGAAGTACATTGTAGCTGATATTTTCTTAAGAGAAAAGTTAATTTTTTCAGTTTTTACTAGATCACATAGTATTGCATGGCAGTAACGGTGGATAATGATACCGGAAACGTACTTCTTCTTTGAGAAAATATCATTTAACATGTTCTTCGACTTTCATGATAGAACATTTGCTATAGAAATACCAGAATAACTGTTATAGCGTAAATCTAATTAAGTCTAAAATATTTTTATCTATTAGAGATATACGCAGTTTTTTTTTCTCTATTAATAAACTTTCATTTTCTAAATAATGTTATTAAGTGCATCATTTTCTCTTGTGAGAAAATGTTTGGAGTAACAAATGATGTTTCTTATTTTGTTTTATTTTTTTTTTTTTTATATTAAGATCATGCCTATTAATTATAATAATAAAGTTATACATTAAACCCTTGTGGTATATGTCATGTAGCAACAATCAATGGTTTATTTGATCGGAGTTCTAAAAGAGTAATGATCTCTTCAGTAGGAAAAAAAGCAAATAAGAACATTTGTAAGACATATTGGTCTTTTCAATAAAATCATCAATTATACGTTGTTTTTTTTCTTATTATTAGTATTCTTATATGTATATATATATATATTCAATATTCTGTTATTTATTTTCTTTTATTTTTGAGTATTATGTAATAGAAATTTTGATAAATATGGTCAAAAGACATGCGTAGAGAAAATTCAATTTCTCTGTAGACTTTTCCTATCATTTCATTAATTTTATTTATACACATAGTCAACCGAGCGAACAAATACTGTTGTAAAGTTGTCGATCATAATAATCAAAAACAAGTGACAAACAAAATCTATTACTTATTTTGTATTTAATCAATTAAGTTTGTTTGTATATATGACGTGAGCCAACTTTGTATATTTGTCGTTGTTTCCGTTTTGCCTTGCGCAAAAATAATAAAAACCATGCGTCATCATATTTTCATGTAGCTCTCTCTCATTGCCTTGACTATCGAATTGATGAATCGATTCTTACTTTCGGTTGTTTTCTGTTGCATGATGAATAGATAGAGAGATAGTTCTATATAACTGATTATCATCAATAGAAATACATATACAACATAGTTAATCGACTGTCTTTGTTTGTTCTAGCATCTATACATTAGTTTCATTGGATTGTAATGTCTTCTGCTATGCAAATCTTATGACCTTGATAAAAACAAGACATTTGAAACGAGAAAAAGTTGGCATCAATAGAAGATACTCTAATTAACAAGACCGCAATGTCGCTCAATGACAAGTCAAAATAGAACAAATGTATTCATTGACAAAGATATATACATATTATGATAGATGAGACTACAAAAAAAGGAAATGTTTCTCATAAACCAGTAAAACATGTGCATTTTTACACATTGATTTATGTACTAATAGAATACAACAAAAAAACCCTCAGGAAACCAGAAACATACGCAATATGTTATAGTTTTGAGATAGAATAGATAAATACATAGATGAGAATATTCTTTATCTCGGAAAAGATCTTTGATATGTAAAAGAATTATAGTAGAATATAAAATCTTGTTGCAATGTTAATTCAGTAGACATTAGTCTATATAAAAATAAAAAGAGAGGAATAGAAAAATTAAAGAATCTATTAAAAAAAATTTGTTTGTTGCTGTTTTTAAATATCCATTTAAATCATCAAACTTATTATTATATCTCGTATTCGAACTGACTATGAAAAAGATAAGAAGAATGTTCTTATTAATATACTATAATAAAGTTAAAAAAAAAACAAGTGTCTGTACATTAATCGTTAAGACCAATTTACGATAAGAATAGTTGTAAGCTACTCCAAACTATTGTTGTTGAGTATCATCTTGAAATTTATTGTTATTGAATATAAAATTAACATTGAAATGATCACTAACTTGATTTGATATGTTGAAATAATATTTACTTTTATTAGTTGTCCTTGACAATCTTAACACTATTCAAATCGAGACTGTTGATTAATATTCATATATGTGCATTGATCAACCCAATGCTACATAGAAAAATCATCATAATTAATAAATAAGATAGAAAATTTGCTTATTCATAAATGTTTAACGCTTCTCTTAATTTTAATGATGATTTTTCCTATTAAATTATGTTCTAGTAATGCTTAATGTTAAAATTGTTTTAAATTTCAATCTGTTTCAATATTTTTTCAATGTGTTGATCATATAGTATAGACAAATGATATATTTTCTGCTCAGTCTATTCCAATAATAAGAGCTAATGTGATTACTGGTCCGGAATTAGTAATATATGATAATTGGTAATTTGTTAACGTGGATGATGATTTATTTGTTGATGAAGATAGAACCTATTTTGTATGTTCTTTGAATTTAGTAGAGGTATGATTGATTTATTTTACAGTAAGATGTTTGATGCATAACAATATTATCAGTTTTTTTTTTGAAACGACTTGCCACTCGCAATAGACGACCTCTAATTTCCTTTTATGTCTCAGCATATAAAGTGTTCAGGAAAGTCTTCTATTGTGTTTCATTTATTCTCATAATTTTTACTGAAAAAAAAGATTTTTTAAAAGAAATCAAAAAAAGATTTTGAGAATTTGAGAAGAAAATTTTTAGAAGTTTCAGAAGCCTAGAAATGATGTTGACCTTGATTTTTTTCAAGGATTTTTCAGTTCAACATTTGAAAAACTAGACATAGCTGAATGGTGAAATGGTAATTAAAATTTCAATTTTGAGAGAAATTAATAAATTAAGGCCACTTATTTCCTCACAAATCGCTATTGGATCAAGTACATTCAAATTGCACGAAATTTTCAAGATATCTTGCGACTATATTGGAGAAGCCATGGTAAAATTTTCAGTTTTATATCATGACGTTTGATTAAGATATTTAATAAACAAGAGCCGAAAATAGTTTATTTAACAACTCACAATTCATTGTAGACGTTCATTTTATATACTTAATTGTTTTTTTTTAAAGAGCATGTTAGCAAGCAGAGCATGATCGAGCTCTTTGTTTAAATTCTTACTTATTAAGCCGAGGAGAGGAATGAAAAGTTCAATGTCTCGAAAAGCTCTTAAAAAAATAACAGTAATTTTTTATAAAATAGTAACAAATTGTCATGCTCTCCATCTTGGCATGCTCTTTCAAACAAAGCAATCAGCTATTGAATATAATCAAGTTGCTTTGAAAATTCTTGGATGTGCAATCAAAAATTTATAAACAGGAAAAAAGCAAAAAATATTTTCCTTTTTTTCTCTTAAAAGAACGGATTTTCTAAGCAGATGGTGATAGAAATCATGAAAAATGTTGGCAAAAAAGGCGGTGCGAAGATGAAAGATCAGGCGTTGAGCTGTTTTCCTATGCATTTATCTTAAGTTTCATTTCTTTTTGATGAAAATTGATTTCTTTTTTTCAGAGGGATTCACAGTGTATATTTAGGTCGATACCTGGCTAATAATGAAAATCACACTTTTTCAAGGCTTAAATATAGGGAAATAGACTTCAAAATATAGTCTATCTAATAGTATAAATAACTTTGTTACAATTCTCAAAGAAACTGAAAAATCAATTATCAAAAATTAGTCTGAAAATCATAATATCACCGAGAAAATTTATATCTTACTAAATAAAACTATTCGATAAGCATATCAAGTACATTTTCTCAATATTCAAGCGGAGCTCTATACATTGGTAAAAAATATTTTTTAATTTACACGTTTAACTTTCGAGAAAAGAAAGCATTTTTTTTCTAGTATCCGGACAGATAGTCCCGCAAAGTGAGCAATCCGCCCACATCCAACCTTCAAATTTGGCTAGCATGTTCTTCTGAATACTGCTTCTATTCTTCCTGGTAGCACGAATATTTTTGGACTGCACAGTAGATTTCGAAAAAAAATCAAAGTTTTTCAGGTATTTTTGTTTTTGTAGCTATGAAAAAATATTTAATCGACAAAAACAGTATATTCTGAATCAGCACATTAAATTGCATCGAATTTTATATGATATAAAACAATGTAGAAGAAAAAAATTTTCTCAAAAAAAATGATTTAAAAAAAAAATACTTGTCTGTGTCATATCCAATAATTTCTGAGCGAAGACATTTGTTTTCGAGCAAGAAAGTTACATATCCATCTGCTATAGGAAAACTGTACATTATGAGAGTAGCTCTTAAAAAGAGGTCTTTTATTACATTCGATGCATCCTTCCATCAAGAGAATTTTTCTAATATTGTTGGAAGGAGACATTATTTGATTGATTAAGAAATTGATTTTGTCTTTTACGAAAATATATGATAATTACTTGTTTAAGTAATAAAATACTAATTAAATTCGTGACGAAGATAATATTAATAGAAAAATCTATCAATAAATTTCAGAAAATTTAATTAATGAATATCTATTATAAAAAAATGCACCTTTGAAGATTAAAATTAGTGCAGCGTAATTCTTTTTTCAATAAAAATAAAACATGAAATCAATACAGTTTGTGCTATTCTTCAATCTCTATCGAATGAGAATAAATCTTTTTCGTTGATGTGCTTCAATTAAATAAAATATTTGTTTAAACTTATTTTACTTTGAGACATTCGTAATGAAAGAATATGAAAAAAAAAAGTGTTCGATGATATTTTCTTATAATCAAATAAATGAAATGAAATATGTTTACACAATAACAAAGGATAAAATACCAAACAGTTTAAAAACAAAACAAAACTAAGAATAACATATATATATATATATATATATATTAAGAAATAATCGCTTTTCCTAAAACAGTTTTAAGATTTTCAAGTAATAATGTTTGTTCTAATAATTCTTTGTGTACTTGAATTTTTTCATTTTCTAATAAACTTATTTGTTCAATTTCTTTTTTAATATCCCAATTATGTTTTATTGTTTGAGATAAATCAATAAAATCTTGATTTTTTATATCAAAATCTGTTTTAGCAATTGAAAGATCTTGAGAATGTTCAATATTTAATTGATTTAAAACATTAATTAATTCAAGCATCATTGTTATAGTTAATTCCGTATTACGTATTAATGTTGTACGATCATTTAATTCTGAACGAACTTCATCAGATTTTTCAATAAAATTATTTTTTTTAGAATTAATTATAGATCTTGTACGAGTAAGTGATGCCATTGATTCAGATATAAGTTCAGATAATTGTTCATCTATTTGACGAGATTCTGAAAATAATGTTTGTAAAATTTCTGCCTAAGATTTAACAAAAAGAAAAAAACGAATAAAATAAAATAAAATAAATAAAATAAATTTACTCCATGTGTTTTGAATTTTGTTACTTGTATAACAGCTGTTTCAAGACGATTTTTTATTTGAATAAAATCTTCTTCCATACGTTCTCGTTCATGACGTAAATTTTCTAATTGTCGATTACGTTCTACTAATAATTGTTCTTCATATTCAAGTCTTTGTTCACGTTGTTGTAAATATTCAGTTTCTTGTAAAAACGCAGCAGCAACTTTTAATTGCATTTGTGAAAGCATTGTTTGTAAACTTGAAAATGTTGTTGTAAATGAATCTCGTGTTATAACCGATGATTGATGAGCTATGTCACGTTCAAGACGTAATTGTTCATTTAATGATAAACTATTTATTGGTGTATGAAGTCCTGTTATATGTGTTAGATTAAGAGCATATGCACTAGGATTAATTTCACTAGTTAATTCATTAGGGATGATTGATGATGTTCGTTCTTTTGGTGTAAATATTGATGGTTTTAATTCATCTGTCGATGGTGTTGCTGGACAGTTTCGATTTACTTTCATCATTTTATCTGAATTATTTGTTTTCAATAGAGAATAAAAGAAGAACGAATAGATGATTTGTTAGTTAGATATATAGATATATGGGGATATTTCGTTGACATATCTATATCGAGGGTATTATCGATGAATCATAAAAGAGACGAGAACAAAAAAATCGAGAAGATTTATTCGAAGAATTTTTAAAATCAATTATTTTGAGAATATTTTTATATTGTTTTGAATTTATTTACAAAGTTATATAAAAAAATTTAGCAAAGTGTTGTAACATTTGAAGATCTATAATTTTGACATAGTATTTTCAATTATTTGTATTTGACATTGAATTTATCAAGAATACAATTTTATAGGAGCATACAAGATGAAGATTCAGTTATTGTTTAAAATGAAGTTCGATATTCGATTTAATATTAAACTGTTTTTGCTAGATTAAAAAGTATTTACACACAAAGCTGAAGTTTTTACCTTCTGTATATATCGAACCGAGGTCTTTAATTTTCGAAAGTTTCAGCTCTCTACCTTAAACTAGTATTGAAATGCATGAACAATATTGAATGTTTTTAATTATCTTTCTGATATATTTATTAAAAAATAATTAAATTTTACAATGTAACATTTCGTTGTTGAAAATAATTTCTTCAGAAAAAGTTAAAATGAATGTATGTAGAATTCGGTTGAAAGAGTAATCACGTTGACTATTCATTTTTTTTCTTCTTCCTGACCATGTTCGATAGTAACATAGAAGCAAGACGGTAATTGTAACATTTGGATACCTTTCATGTTCCTTATCATTATTAAACTTGGCATGAAGAACGAAAAGAAAAATAAATAGTCAACGTGATTACTCTTTCAACCAAATTCTACATACATTCATTTCTAATCTGTCTGAAGAAGTTGTTTTCAATAACAAAATGTTACATTATAAAATTTGATTATTTTTTAATAAGCATAATAGGAAGACAGTTTAAAAACATGTAAAACATATAATACATTCCTTACAAGACAAGAACAAGATAGAGATACATGAATTTTAGTATTGGATTTTTGTAATATTTTTATAACTTTGTCATTTGTGGAATAGTAGCCGATTTTTTTAACTATGCAAGAAAATATTGATATCTAGAGTCGTTTAGATTTAATGACAAATTTTATCTTAAATGTCCATCAATTATGAATATATAAACAATTTTTTTATGTGTTGCATTGAATTGAAAACATATGAAAAGACCATGATGTATTGGAGTTTCATGGTTCATAACACAATTATTTTATAAACATATAGAACCAATAGATAAAAAAAACATGCTCTATTAGATGATGTATAAAAAGCATTGAAAATGTGTGACGTGTACCAAAAGTAAAAGTTCGTGAAAAAATAAATTGCAAAAAAACAAATGAAGGAAACCTTGAGAAAGAAAAATGCGCAAAAATGATGGATGAAATCTCTTATTAATTACAACCGGACATAGAAAATAATTGTCGTGTAAAATTTTGTTTCATCAGGTATTTATAAATATTTCCATTCAAAAAATAAACGTGTTACAAATATCAAATATGAAAAATATCATGTATGTCAATACTAGTTTAAGCGAGAGAGCTCAAACTTTAGAAAATTAAAGTTCTTAGTTATATATATATGTTTGGCAGAAAATTTCTGCTTTCTACATCAAGAAAAAGTATGAAAAATGTTATTGATAATTTATCATTAGTTATTATGAGACATCCTTCATATTGTAACATTTTCATTCAATATACAGGACCAAAAAATATGTGATCCACAACATTTTTTGAAAGAATTTTTATTTGTATGACATCATTTTTTAGTCAATCCTTATGTTCTCTGTTTTTTGTCAAATTATTCGATCGCTTTTAATAGATATCATTTGTATTTATTTATTGACAATCAAATAATGTATCTGGAAAAACCAATCAGGCAAAAATAGGGTTACATGAAAATAATGACGTCATTTGTAATTTGTATTGCGTTACTAGAAGGAGAGAGATGTGATGTATCAATGCATAAATATTGTGTAATAAATTTCATTTTGTTTTAATCGAGTTGTTTTTTTTATTAAAAAATAAAAAAATTCAATTTTCATTAGAAATTATGTTCAATTGATGTTTGTGAATAGCATTATCATTAGTACAAAATAATTTATTGCTGACGAAAATGTTTTTTTTTTCTCTTTTTAAGAGGAAAGATTTTTAGGAAAGATCAGACTAAGTTCCAATAATTCTTTCGAACGGATTTTCATCTGTTTGAGCATATAAGGATATTGTTTTTTTCCAATCGCTATGAGTAATTTTTAAATTCGTTGAAAGTAAATTTATTTTAATATCACATTTTTTCATATTCGGTGCTTGACTTTGTATAATGTTAGTCAATTCAGCTAAATCGAAATCTTTTGGAGGAATGTTAGGTCTATCAATAATTAAATAAAGTTGTTCAAGATAAGGAATATGTAAAAGTATTGATTTAAGATCAAACAATGGAACATTAGCACGTAACAAAATTTTTAAATGAATAAGATTTGAATGTTTGATTAATGGAAAAGAAACTGATTGATTTGATAAGGGTAAACAAATTAGAGCACTTTCAAAACTAGTTAAGTTAGGTAGATAATATAAAAGTTTCAAGAATGTATTCATATGACAATAATTCAGACGAAGGGAATGTAATGTCAAACATGGTTGATAAGATTTATGATCTTCAAAATAAAAGTCTAGGTTAGGAAGCCAACATGTTGTTAAATAATTCAATTGTTTTTTACTAAAAAGAATGTCTCCCAATTGATTATTTATTGAACAAACAACAATATCAAGTTGTTTTAAATATTTGAAATAATGTGATTTAATATCTTCGATTTGTTTATCAGTGGCATGACTTAAATGAAGTGAACATAAATTTTTTAATGGAGATATATCAATATCTTGATGGTAATAGTCAATACATAAACCAATAATATATTCTGGTAATATATTAAATAAGACTTCGAATTTTTCATAATTTTGATCATTTTTTAATCTAATTTTTAATCGGTTTGAATTAAGTATTGCTTCAATACGTTGATTAAGTCCAGTAAAACAACGAAATAAATCCCAACATGAAACATAAGAAAATATTTTAAGCCAAAGCTCGTCGGGTAAGCTTTCAATAAATGTCATTTTGCTAAAAGTATAAATTTGTTAAAACGAATAATGATATATATACATATAAACTACGTTTTAACTTTACAACATCAATACGTATTTTCCTTCTTACTCACATTGACTCATGATGGTGACGTACAGGAAGACGAAAAAAAAAAATACTAGCGGCCTACGTTCGAATGTCATTTTTCTCTTAATATAAAATAAATATAAATTATAAACAAATTTAGTATATTTTAAATATAAATTATTTCCATTTAAGTTATAAATTGTTAAACTATAAATTAAGTTAAATTATTCTATTTCTTTTTCATATTTCATCCCAGTCAGGCGCACAAGAGAAAAACAAACGTATAGAAATTTTGACGAAAATAAAATCATACAAAATGTGCAAGTGTGAACACGTTCATAACGCATTAGATTTTCGAATGGATATATATTTCTTCAGAAACTTTAACGCGTTTTGAACACGTAAAAATGTACACTTTTTACGATTTTATTTTCGTTAAAATTCCAACGTGTTTTTTTTCTCTTGTTCATGTGACTTGGATGAAATATGAAAAAGAAATAGAATAATTTAATTTAATTAATAATTAATATTTATTTTAAATTTAAATTACTAATAATTGAATTTATACATAAATTAAATTGAAATTAAATATTAAATTGAGATCCCTAAACGTACGTTTTGTAAACATGTTTTAAACAATCAATAAATGACATCTATCAATGTTTTCTTCTCTAGAGATACCTCATTTTTCTTCGTTGTTGATTGTACTTTTATGAATCCATTGAATCAGCCATTATATGGAGATTTTCATCGTTTACTCAATGCTTTTCGATGACATTTATTTACAACTTTTTGTTTTTGTATGCATCACTGATAAACAAAACTTAACTTTGAGATGTAGGCTTACAAATAATGATAAATAGAATTATTATTATTATTATTATTAGAGTTTGAACAGATTTCCAAATACAAATTTCAGGAATTAGTAGATTTACCATTGAAAATCAGGAGTTTATTAGAAGATGATTTTTTAAATCAAAAGGCACATTAAAAGAGTTTTATTTGAAATTAGAGGAGCACTTGGCAATTTTATTTCTAAGAATAATTAAATCTTCATCTTAATAAGCACTTTTTTTTCTTTGTCATATTAACTTCATAGCAGGAATATTTTCTTAGAAATCATGAATCCTTATGTCATTAGTCATTCACGGTCGTTTATTGAAATGTACATAAAAATCAGAACAGGTAAGTTATTTGACAACCCAATATAAACTAGAACAAATATGTTTATATGAAAAACAAGTTATGTGCCGTACGATTAGCGGCATTTTTAAAACAACTGTCATGTTTTCAAGAAAAAGTGGACTCTGTTCAAAAAGATATGAATTACTTACGAAATAATTATAAAACTGTGTATAATAGTAGTCAAATTTTACATTTATCTTAAATTTTACTCGAATGAACGAGGATATTTTCTCAGATGTCCACTTCCGATTTCAATGTTTTTTTTTTGTCTCTCTATACCACTTCGTGTTCTAATAAAAATCTTAAAAGGATTCGGGTTCCTTTTGGAATTTGACTAGCATGTCAAAATTTTAATATGTCTATTTTCTGGACCCTATATTTTCGGAACATTTGACTTTTCGCCTTTTGATTTGAAACTTTGTTCACATAGAAAATTCAACTATATATACTAGTTTCCTTAGAAAAATTCAGAATTTGTCTACAAGGATCACTTCAAAATATGAAGATTTCAAAACATGCATACTGTATAGACTAATCATGAAAAAGTGTTCCCTGCTTGAAAGTCTCATATATCTCTAAGAGGCATTGCACATAAGCCACGCCTAGTCTGGCTCAATCGATGTCACCGATTTGACTGGTATTTTTATAGTAAGTAGGTCTAACAAAGTTAGGAAGAAACTGAAAATTTCAGCTCAAACGGAATAGCCAATCTGGAGATATAGACGTTGCAAGTTTGAGGTGGTAGGCTATTTTTGAAGCATCTTTCAGCACAAAATGTTTCAGTAAATTTTCATTTTCTAAAGAACGACAAGAGGTATAATCGAGATTTTTTTACCACATATACTATTGACCATGAGCTATCTTTTGATGGTATCAAAAGTATCTTATCGTAAGATAATATTTGCTTTATAGTATATGTCATTTTCAAACAACAGGATCCCAGTGTACAGAACTAATTGGTCAAATTTCAATATTTCGAAAAACGATGAAACAAACATTATTATGTTGTGACATGACTAGAGACTTCTCTAATCATATAGTTAAGTAAAACAGATAAAATATAAAATCGTTTCGAGATTATATAAACAAGTTTTCATTAACTTTTTTGTTTCATTGTTTTCATTAAATATATTTGTGAATATCATTTTTCTACATTATAAATGCAACTCTTAAGATTCGAAAACATAATTCTATTTTTGATATCTATTTCAAGGAAAAAAGTAAAGTGAAAACATAAAACTATAATGCAAATAATCATTACAAATATAATCGATATTCATTATGAAAAATTGTCATTCACAACAAAAGCAATTATTGCTTAAAAATATTATCAAAGAATGAAATTTCAATCAAATCCTAAACAGATAATATTTTGACCAATTCTTCTTTACCAATATCAAAAACAGAAATAAAAGTCTTGCCTGTTATTCTTGTGTATGATCTCTCTCGAAGTTTTAATCACGTAATAAAAGTCTCAATATCTATTAGAAATTTTTCATATGATATTGAATTTCAATAAAAATATTCTTATGAAATCTATAATAATTTCTAATTAGTTACTTTTTGATTCATTCTAGCAATATAAAACATTGAAAAGAAAAAGAAAATCGAGTAAAATTTATCTTGAATATATTTTTTTTTTAAAAATGCAAAGAGTCAAAACAAAAATTAATTAACTATGTTTGTTCATTTACTTCTAGCATGAATACTGTCTAAAACTTGTTTTAATAATTGTTCAAGTTGTTTTGAATTAAAATTAGCTTCATTAATACGTTTTAGAATATTTTCATATGTTTTTTCTTCATATTGTTGATAAATTTGTTTTAAATTTAATTCTTCATAAATATCTTTAACACATTGAACTTTATTTTGATCATCATAACCATAATTATCACGAAGAATTTCTCTTTTTACATCATTATCTTTTAATAATTTGATAGCTTGAACAATAAGCCATGAACATTTACGTTCTTGAATATCAGTACCAATTTTTCCTGTTCGATTAATATCACCATAACAATCAAGATAATCATCTTGTACTTGAAAATAAATACCAATATCAATTGCAATTGATTTTAAATCAGGATGATCAACAAGAAATGATGAAGGACTTATTAATATACCACAAAAAATTGGTAAAAGAATTGTATAATAAGCTGTTTTCCACGTAACTACAGAATAATAATGTTCTTCTGTATAAAGATCAATCGATGGTAAATAAGACGGAGTTTCTAAATCGAGACCTATTAACGAAAAGAAAAAAAAATAATTATTTGAACAAAAAAAAGACCATTTTATTTACCCTGTCCAATCACAGTTCGTTGAAAAACTTCATTAAATAAATGATATAATTTAACATTTGTTGGAAAGTATTTATTTAATAATGTGAATGTACATGAATATAAATAAAATGAATCATTGACAGCTGATTCTTTTTCTTTAATTTTTAAATACCAGCAAGGTTTTCCACGTCTTGTTAATGAATGATCCATAAGATCATCAGCAACAAGAAATGATGCTTGCATTAATTCAATACACCAACCAAGTATCGCTGCTTGTTTTAATAATGATTCATCAGCAGATTCTGATGATATAGCACGAACAGTATCAATTACAGCTGTACCACGAATCTTTTTTCCATCACTACTATTATAACTAAGAACAGTTTTAAAATGTGAAAGAACTTTTTCAAGATACACATTTTTTGATATTTCTGATGAATAATTCGAAACAAGATCTTCTACTATTGTATTATAATATGAATTTAAAATTGATAAACTTGAAGATGAATTCATCATTAAATTTAATAAATCTGAAAAGTATTTTATTTAATCATTTTTATACAATTTAAAAATTTACCTCGACGTTGATGAGGTGAAGTGGAATGATGTTTTGATAACCAATATGTTTCTAGCTTGTTTTTAATTGAACATAATATTTTTTGCCTAGGAAATGATAATAATGTATAGTTTAGTTTTTGAACGAAAGAAAACATCAAATGATGACTTCAAATTACAATCGAAATTAGCATGATACTGAAATTAAGAAAACATTTCCAGATTTATAATGTCAATAGAAACAAAGAAAATTTATTACAATTTATATTCATTATTTTTCATTGTACCTGTAATTTCTGATAAATTGTCTAAAGATCGCTTACAGAAGATGAAAAAAAAAGATCAAAATGTTCACAAGTCTATTGTCATTGCTGAAATAGGAGCGAAAAAAAAACAAATTTGTATAAAAGAATCCTATTAAGATACTGAATTTTTGATAGGCACACAATTATTCAAAATAATATGAAGAACTTGATAATTTCACTTTCAAAATTAAAAATTTTCTCTTGACAAAAAAATGAAATCTTGTAAAAATTTTCAACCTACCGGTGCGCATTCGCTGATATAATTTATTTACAAATGCAACACGTACAAATACAATATTAAAAGAACGATACGAAAGAAAAAAAATAAAGTTGAAGAACAGAATAAAGTATGAGGACATTTATATATTTCTTTGTTTGTGTACTCATACGATCACGCCATGCATTTAACAGTGGTAGGTTTCTTAAGAAGATCGTGCCATACAAAAGATAAAGTAATCTGTTATCAAGAGAAAAATTAGTAAGTACATCATCGAATATGATCTTGATAACAACTCTTTTATTCTTGTACTTATTAAAAAAATATAAATTATGTCATTCTTTTAAAGATAAATCTTACTATTTCTATCACAATTTAATATGGATGAAAATTAATCAAGC